ACAATATAGCCATTCCAGGAGAAAAAAAGGATATAATCAGTATATAAATGTATTATGTTTGGTACTATTTTATCAATGGGTTGTAAGTTTGTTGGATATTTTGAAACATACAATTGTATTTGTGTTATCCCCAAATGCAGTCACATTCCATTTCCATTAGGACGATATATACACACATACATTATGGCTTCAAATTCTGGATCTTTTGAGGTGGACATTATATTGAATGAAGTAAATGATTCTTTACCTGTCATTTTGTTTGAGTTATGTTTTACTTCATTTCCATGCCATATGTTGTAGGGCTTTGGTGAAGAAGAAAATAAACCAGTGACTAAAGGAAAACGCACTGGTCAAGTCTCTACTCCTTCGAAACAATGGAAATCAGCCAAATCACTGGAAGGATCTTTGAATAGCGATCATAGGCGAACATTGACTGATTTAACGGGATCGACCGCGCAAGTGCCCACGTCAAGCCAAGTTAATTTGCCAACGAAACGAACAAGTAGACGTAAAATGTATATACCCAGAACATTGCACCCCAAAGAGAATTCTTGTGAGAAAAAATTGAAAAATCAACTTAACACACGCTCAAACTCAGTGCAGGACAGATCACTCCATCTAAAGGTAAAGTCATATGTCCTATTTTTCTCTCTAAATTTTTCCATGTTTAGAACCAAAGTATTCTATTCTCATATAATTAATTTGCAGGAGAAGATCTCTTGTTGCTTGTCATCACATTTATTACGTAGATGGTGCACTTTTGAGTGGTTTTATAGCGCACTTGACTACGCTTGGTTTGCCAAAAGGGAGTTTGAGGAGTACTTAAATCATGTTGGACTGGGACACATTCCGAGACTAACTCGTGTTGAATGGGGTGTCATTAGAAGGTGCATATTTCAAGTAGATAGAATATGGTATGTAAATTGTGAAAATATTAACTGAATATTGTTGCATTGCTTTCTTTACATTGCAGTTCCCTTGGCAAACCTCGGAGGTTTTCTGAGCACTTTCTACATGAAGAAAGGGAGAAACTTAAACAATATCGGGAATCTGTGAGGAAACATTATGCTGAACTTCGTACTGGTGTGAGGGAAGGACTCCCAACAGATTTAGCAAGACCTTTATCAGTTGGGCAACGAGTAATTGCTCTACATCCTAAAACAAGAGAAGTTCACGATGGAAGTGTGCTCACCGTTGATCATGATAAGTGCAGGGTTCAGTTTGACCGTCCAGATATAGGAGTTGAATTTGTCATGGTAGGGGATTCTTTTAACTTGTCTACATGTCATTCTTTCCATTTTGTATTCGTTTGTCATCGTGGAAACTTTTTCTAGTCTCATTTTCGACAAACTACTTATTGACAATCTTGCACCCATCTTCACACACCAAAAACTAGCTTATTTGATCTTTAGTGAGTTAAATAGTTACCAATGCTAGGTAAACTGTTTTCCCTCGACCATCCTATCTGAGGATTATTTGTGTGCATAACTCTTGGATTGAGATGCTTGACCTTATGTTTGTAATTAAATATTGAGTTCTACCAGATATATCACTCAAGTTATTACTTTTAGGGAATTATGTTCAAGTTTTCTGTTTAGCTCTTACTGAATTGTTTTATTATCAGAAATTGAAATAAAATTATGTGGCTATTGATTCAAATAAAGACTGCTACACGAACCATAAAAACCTTAGGTTATGCATTCAAAGGTTACAGACTGATTATATACTAATAAAAGAAGATGAACCCAAAAGATTTCAGATGACACCTGCTGTTCGCTATGCAGCTTGATAATTTGATATTTTATTCTTTTGGTTTCCTTTTCTTATGTGCTATCAAGTGCTAGTGAATCAGAATGCTAAATCAAGAAAATCCATCTACTTATTTTGAGATATGACATGAGAAAATTTCTTTGCAGGATGTTGATTGTATGCCTTCGAACCCATTGGATAATATGCCAGAAGCTCTTAGGAAACGGAATATTGCTTTTGACAAATTCTCGTGTACATCCAAGGAGCCAAATAAAATTGGAAATCTAAATTTTGGAGGGCCTATGATGTTTGCTTCAAGTGGACATTTGGTGAAAGCAACTAGCCCCATGGATGCCTTCATAAAGCAGGAGAAGGTCAGCATTTCTACTAAAGCAAAATTGTGAATTTGTTTTTTGTTAAAACTCTTTGCAGTTCATAAAATCCACTGCTTATCTTGTATTCTGGAAGTCTTTTTTCATGCTGTAGATGTTGCATTTGACCTCAGTTTTATCTTTTCATTTTCATTAACATTTTCTGTACATTTTACGGCCTATAATTATGGTTGATGAATGTATGAGGATGCTGGTTCTAGAAACCAAAGTGTGTGGTCGGGAGGTAATAAATTCGAGAAATGGGCAGTTGCCTTTTCACCTAACCATACAACATAGCTTAAGCCCCCAATGACCAGGCTTTTTTACTACAATTTCGCTTGGGAAGCACCAAACGTCATAATGCCCATAGGTTAAATGGTAATCTCTTTCTTCTACCGGTAACAGGCATTTAGTGGCCCGCCCAGTGAATATGTTGAGTAGGCACCTTTTCCTGCATAGATTAGGAAGAAAGGGGAAAAAAAACTTATATTGTTGAACGAACTCTTCTTAATGGTTGAACTGCATTTCATGTCTGTAAAGAGGAATAATAGGGGGGATGTTGAGGCAACATAGATCAGTCTCAAAATTCTGGATGCTAGTTAGTTTTCATGAGTAATCAACTAATTTTCTTAAAATTTTGTACAGTGGGATGCAATTCATACAACTGCACAACCAAAAGCAGCATCAGCTGATATTGGTAGGGCACAACAGACAGCATATAGTCAACCTGGTATCGTGGTGGCACATAATCAAGCAAGGGAAGCTGATATACGAGCTCTTTCTGAGTTGAATAGTGCTCTTGATAAGAAGGTAATCGTGTTTTTTTTTTAACCCTTGAAGATGATTAATAGATGTATTTATTGTCAAATTGTGAACATCCTGATGCCGCATTACGCATGCATTTCGTTGTCTTATCATAAATTCAGTTAGCTTGAAAGCTGTCTTCTGTTATGTATGTAAAACTTTTGTTTCTGTTTCCAACCTTTAAGCCACTCCCTCCTGAACTCCTTAGGTCTTCTAATTTCCTCATTATGGTCGTCGGTGCCCTTTCCCACTTTGGTCAACTGTCTTCGTGTTGTCTTTATCCATCCCTGTGAATCTTTCAGCATCAAGCTTCTTTGCTAAACTTCCTTGAATTTGTAACGATGCTCAGAAAGAGTCACTTTTGTTTTTCGAATTTTAGGAGGCATTGTTGATGGAGCTTAGGAACACAAATAATAACATTTTGGAAAACAAGAACAGTGGAGAATGCACTTTAAAAGATAGCGAGCCTTTTAAGAAGCATTACGCCATGGTACTTGTACAGCTAAAGGAAGCCAGTGGCCAGGCATGTGGCTTCCGTGAATTTATATCATGCTTTACATCTGTTTTTGGTATACCATATTCTGCTCTGACCTTGTAGCGGCCCTAAATAATCACTTCCACATGCAGGTTTCTTCAGCTTTGGTTAATTTGAGGCAACGTAATACTTACCCTGCAAATTCCTTGCCTCCTTGGATGAAACAACCAGCCAATTCCACCATCCATGGTGACCCGAGTTCCTTCGACAGCTCTATTTCTCAAGAGTCAGGATCTAGTGTTGCTGACATTGTTGAAGTTTCAAAATCGAAAGCACATATGATGGTTAATGCTGCTATTCAGGTAACTGGATTTGTTGTAATTTTGGGCTTGTACGATATTGGTCTTCACATTTGGACCGTATTTTTTCAAATGGCTGATAATCCAAACATTAGTTTTCTTCATCGCTGGGGAATATCCAAGCAGTTGCTCTTTTTTCTTTCTTCGTTTTCTTCGGTATTGAAATTGAATGCAGTTAGTGTGGTAACACAATGATGCTATCATTACAGGTAATGGCGTCAGGGAAGTGCGGGGAAGATGCTTACGTTGGGATAAGAGAGGCTCTAGATTCCATCGATAACCAGCATTTCACATCAGAGTCTAGATTACCTGTGAACAGGTCTCAAGAGCAAGTAAATGGTAGTTTGGGCCAACGCAATCAGATAAGTTCCGGCACATCAGGTCCCAACTTGACCAGTGATTCATCTGCGCCGAAGTTGCATACCGACGCTGACAAAAATGAGGCTCAGATTCTTTCGGAGGTCATCTCTGCATGCGTGATGGCTGTACACATGATACAGGTAAACTGAGCTAGTGTCGAGTTACATCGGTAGAGAAAAATGCTAGTGTTCACTTTGACTTGGTCATCTCTTACCTGTAACTGGATTCGTAACTGCATTATGCTGAATATTTTTCACTTGTCCGTGAGCAGACGTGCACTGAACGACAGTTTCCTCCGGCTGTTGTTGCTCAAGTATTAGATTACGCAGCGACAAGCCTGCATCCACGCTGCCCCCAGAACGTTGGAATTTACAGAGAAATACAAATGTGCATGGGCAGAATCAAGACACAGATATTAGCACTCGTACCAACTTGAGTCCGATGCTTCCTTCCAGTCTCCGACTCTCCGGAGTTGTTTTGATTTCTAAAATTATTCTAGACCAAACAAACTTAGCTGACTGCCAATTAAGCGCATCGGATTGAGTTTCTTGGCGCTGAAGGCTGTAAATTAGAAGCTGTTCCGTGTATATAGTCGATCTTCGGTCCTCGTTTTCTCTGATGCCCTGTTGGCCAAAAGAAAAACGAGTACATGTTTCTGCATAATGGTTGCCAATTTCTACAGCTTCTCACTCATTTTCCAGTGAAATATATGACTAATCTACCTTGGAAACTAATTCTACAAGCAACTAAAGCTATAATAACGCCTAACCACAACAACACCCCAATTGGCCAGCACCACGGTGGCACGGCCGGTGTGAGCCATTGCTTAGGTGAGCCATATAAGAACTGTAACCGTTTCGATATTAAGAACATCCAATATAATTTCAGCAAATAAAACGTAACAATACCTATAGCAGTTGGTTTCTTGCGATGCAAGGTACAGCAAGTGCTTTGCAAAAATGTGCACAAAAACTAAACATTGAAACCCACTTTTAAATGCAGCCCACCACAATCATGGATGCCATATACACTTTACACAATATAAAAGATGGGACTAAGATCCACTCCGGATCTCTGTGTGCAAGCCCGCGGACCGAGAGATCCAGGCCACTCAATTTCAATCCTACAACGCCCATTAGTCCATCCCACTAGCCCACTTCACAAAAACCCAAAAAACTTGAACGGCCATATACGCTTTACACAATATAAGAGATGGAAGACAAAGCAGAGTTGATAAGTTAAAGGTTTATACAAATGAAAAGGGGAAAATTTGAATCCTCACAATTTACAGATTTTTTTTTCTCTTTGAAATTTCTATTCTAAAGTAAGGCAGGGCTCAGAAACACGAGGCACCCATGAAAGACTTTTGAGTGATTAAATGAAGCCATTCAGCAAGTGCAAAGACAAAAAACGCGCCGAAAAGAAAATCACCCCCAATCCCACCCCAAAAGCCATGTCATGGTATATAGCAGCTTGACATATTTAAGCTAGCCTAGCAAGAACCTGAATACATCGCTCAAAGAAATAATCCCTTCTACACGCTTGCTGCCGGCCTCCACAATCACAAGTCTCCTAACCCCTAAAAAATTAGCAGGGAAGCGGCGTGTGAAAAAACTTGTTACTAACACAAACAAAACAAAGCAAAGTTATTTACTTGATGGGCAAGCAACTTACCCGGATTAGCCAAGCGCTCCATCACTTTATGCAAAGAATCTGACTGCAAACACATCTGACATCTCTGCCCATTGAAGCTGTAAGGAGGATTTTCACTTTGTCCCAGTAGCAATGCCTACAACATGCAGGCACATTCAGTTTTCAGAGAGGTGTGCATTACCAAACATTTCAAAACTGAAAATTTGCGCTAGAGAATTTTTCATCACTCATTGTCTTTCAATTTTGTATTTTGTCTCCCCCCCATCTATACTTTCGCTACTAATAGGTTGGGTTGCATTATGCGTTTGTGTCAACTAAACTCCAAGATTTGTGGATAATCACATAAACCTTTTTGTTGCACACCGAGACTATTCAAGACATACTGAAGAGGCTAACTACATCACCCACATGTAAAGATCATAGAATGTAACAGAAGTAACACAAACTTGCACCGTTTAGCGAGTACCTGATGGATGCTCAATTCATCAAGGCGAATCTGTGTATAAGCTTTATCTCTGGCCAAAGCAGTGATATCACTGAGGAAGATACAAGAAGCACATTCAACAATTGGTCAAAGAACAAAGTAATTAGCTCTACGTAAAACTTGATGCAAATATAAATGAAATTCATTAGATCACCTTCGCGAATAAATATCCAGCAATGAATCATTACCATCCACTATAGGTATTGAACTAACGTCAGCTGCAAAAGAAAATACGAAATAGGATAAGCCACATAGAAGCAGGAGTCAGGACTGATGTAAATAAAACCATCTGGCTAATTTTGGAGACAAGTAATCAAAACAAGGTAAGATGTGAAGCAGACAGCTAGAAAAGAGAAGAAATATAACCTTGTATCAACAAAGAAAAGGCATCAGCAAGAGATGAATTTGGTCTCAACATTGCCAATGGCCGTCCATTTGACTGTCCAATATTTGGAACCCATGTGCCTAAACGAAACTCAGATATAGGATGTAGGAGTATGGGCAAGGAGCTAGAAGAATGTCTAAAATGCCTGCATATGCCTGAAGTTTTATTACAGATTAGTAACTAAATGTGTAACCTTAATGCTATATTAGAGAAATACTTACATTTTAGTATTCCGCAGAGGGAAGCAAGGTGCAATAGTTGTGGAAATGAACCATCCTGCGAAGTTGAATGGACAATTGGAACCGTTGCCACCTTGTTTTGCAAAATTTTCATAGCAACTTCTTTGAGAGAATCATAAGGGCCAGCCTGTATGTCAAAACAGTACAAATATAAGCATTATCATGATAGGTATAGAAGTTTCTGGATTATATAATTGCCAAAGATAACATGTCATTTAAAAATATAATACAAATTAGCATCTCATGAAGAACTTACAGAGACAAGACGCGGTGCACAGTATCTCCCATTGTCATCAAGTTGTCTGTTAAGATTTATTTTTCCCTCTTTCCATGCTGCTACAGTATGAGTCTCAAGCTCTTCCTCAGTCAAGTTGGATCCATGATTCCCAAGCTTTCATAAGAACCATACATTTTAATTAATTTAGCATGTCACTTCCAGAATAAACTTATATTAAGAACGACAATCTGAGATTGGCAACCATGAAAACTCATGAGCTGCGTGAAACGATTTTCAGGGTAAGGAGAATAAAGAACTTAAGGTTATTTGAAACAAGAAATATGTAATAGAGAAACCGTACAGATGGAATGGGGAAATAAGGAAAAAAGACAAAATTTAAAGACTGTTTTTGTGTGCCCAGAATTCGTATCAAGTGTTGTATTACTATTGCCCATCAAATATAAACTAAATTCTCAGGATGCAGACTCCCTCAAGCACCATAAATTGACTCCAGCAAGGTTTGCAAAAGGAAAATAGATGCAGCATTAGGTATGATGGCAGGAAGGATGTTACTTGTCTATAATATGAATGTTCAGAGATTCACGAGAACACCATTAGTATGCATTATGCACCTTGTAGCACAGTTGAAGTTTAGAAGCCTCTTAGTTACATTTGCGCCTCAAAAATTTAGAACTTTTCAAACATATATAATAAATTGATAAAAGTGTGTATATTACTGTGTTTCATCTAGAACTAGCATAAACATATATTAACAATAAGGAATGACAAAAGTTTTACATGGGACACACCTCTCTCAAGATTAGGATGAAGTCCATTGCGCTAAGAACTCCAACAAATTGGCCCTTCTCAAAATCCCACAGAGGAGCCATAGGTAATCCCTTAAAAGGAACTTAAATTAGTAACCGAACATATAGATAGGTACAAAATGCAAATTATTACCAAAGCAGAAACTGTTTAAATGGCATAAATGTCCTAGGGACTGATGAAAATTGAGCAGAGACAATCAATTTATGTAAGCTGGGGAATTCAAGCTCCCTCCCACTTTTTGTTTGTTTAAGTGAAAGCGTTTATATGTGTTTGAGGAAAAGACATTCACCTGTTCATGTAGGATATGGAATGCTTGCTTCACAGGTAAACTATTATCCAAGGCAATTACCTGTGATAGCAACATGATTAAAATAAGAATGATAAATTACCAGACAAACGGTGGTCAGGCCCACTAAGCTACCTACTATAGCCAGCAGCTGCATAAGGGTAAAGCATTCAAACCTTGCCTGACTCGGGAAGCAACTCATAAGCAGTATGTCTGGACAAGAACATAGATATACGATGACGAGAGATATCGAGATCAGCTTGCGAGAACCTAGGAACTGCTTCCTGCAATAGACCAACTTAAAACATGACCTATTCTGTACTGCAAGACAACTCAAATCCTTGACTTAAAAACAAGTGAAAAACTTACTACTTGTCTAGGAACCATATCTAAGTCCATATTGGATCCACCAGAAGTCTCAGGACTGAAACTTGTAGGAACCACATCTTCTCCAGCTAGAAAGATGGTATTCACTACTCCACCATTCGCATTAACAAAAGGCTGATGCTCATCATGTCGCCATTGGCCATCAACAAAAAATTTGTACTGCAATTATTGGAAATAACACATCTAATATCAGCATGACACTTAAAGAAATTGTATGATGTACCAGTAAGCGAGCATATGTAGCCCTTGGGTGAGAATATCTTATGGCTGCCACAGAGAGATAGCAACAAGACGATATCAGCATATTAGGAGCATCTACCACCACAACAAGCATGTAGGGAATGGTATTATTATCTTCCCTTTACATACATTAAAGCATATAAGGTAAGGAAAAAATGTAATATAATCTTAGCACATTGATTTGTAGAGGTTCAGAGGTTATATATTTTAATGATGCAGGACAAAGTTTTGGAGTATTTATTCGAGTTTCATTTATTTAGCAGAAATATACTTCTTTGCTTCATTCGGCAATCTAATTTGTGGTAGAAGGTCAATCCTTATGGTTATGTTCGCGCTATGCCCTTGATTATGAGGGTGCTATTTATAGCCAATAGCATATTGTACGATAAAAGCCTGATGCCTGTGCATGCTGAACCAATCAGAGTTTCCTACATAAATAATTTTCTTTCGTAACTCTCTATTGGAATGTAACAAATAAGAAATGCCAATTTCTTCCCTTTTCTGAGTATTAGACGGAACATAAGCACGCAACAAACAATGTTACAGCATTCACGAATCCTGATTCATAATATTACATTGCGTATCCTTTATGCAAGCAAACTCAACTGAACTGTTACCACATAACAACAGCAATACCAATGATTACAGAACTCAAATGAGAACAATAAGTAAGATTTTAAACTTCGGCAAGTTGAACCGAGTATAATAGCATTGATAAGTGTAAGAAATAAACCTGATGATACCCGGGCGTCAAATTCCAAACAACTTGAAAAACAGTTGGACACCCCTCCACTGGAGCCATAGGTATCTGTTCCAACCACCTGTACATACAGAAAAATATATCGAATATATCACAACTTTAATCATACATTGAGCATCGACACTAAATTCATATCACAACTTTAATCATACAGTGAGCATCGACACACGAAAAACGACTCTCACTCAAATAACAAGAACTACTACTGGAATTTGATCAATGTCATGGCACACCTTGTGAAAGAACCACTGACAAACACACTCCTTCCGCCATAAGGCCAGACAAACCGCGTCGGAATTAAAACTGGTACTGAAAGTCTACTGCTTTGATGTGCAGCACCCGAACCAGACCCAAACATTTCCCACCAAAGTAGATTAACTTATACAAAAAATCCCAGAAACTGCAAAATTCGACACCTTCCCAGATGATTATTTGCCACAAAAACCCCAATCCCACCAACCCAGCACACTACTTTTCCCAGAATTTAAGAACCCTTTTATCAAATCACACTTCAAAAAAACCCCACTCTGTTTTTTTCCTTTGTTCTTGCTTAGTAATGGGGATCCTCCACAACTGAGCAGAGGACCCTCAATGCTTGCACATGCAGTGCCACCAAATCAAAACCCAAAACACAAAATTTGCTATGTTTCAATCTCAGCACTCTCTGATCAAATTCTCAGTCCAAAAGGTCAACAAATCAGCCGGCAGGAAGAAAACCCACAAAACTCAGCAAAAAGCCAGGGCATTTTCCACAATTTGATCTGTGATCTACCCCAAGTCGGAGACTTTACCACCAAATCCCATCCCAGAGCTCTGCGTCTCTGAAACTAGGTGGAGGAATTCGACTACTATAGTGGTTGTGTTGTAATTTAGTGCATATTTTGAGGGCAACAGAAAGATAAGGAAGAAAACCCTAATACTGAAATATTGGAGAGAGAGAGATAGTGAGTTAGTGAGAGAGAGCTGGGTTTGGATCTCCAAAAGCTGTGTCCTCTGAGTGAAGAATCTGATTGAAAACATCCAAACACTCCCCAATATAAATTAATAGTTACAAAAAAAAATAATAATAATAATTTTTCGGTGTATCTGAAAACTGGCATGTGGAGTAACAATTTTACTTCAATTAACATGTATGCTTAGTTAAAGACATCAGTCTCGTTAATCAGCTGCATTATAATACGTAAAAAAATACATAACAAGACAAGTGTTTTCTGATTCACACAAAATATCTAAATTAAGGTCATTACTATATTAGCAGTTATTACTTTTTTTAATGACAATGATGGCAAATTTCCAGAACTAAAATCATTATTTAAAGGGTAGTAGTTAGATTAACTTTCTACTTTACCTTTATTCATCTTTTCACTAAAAAGGACAAAAGGTTTTTTTCATCCGAGAGAAATTGACTTTTATTAAACTTTTAGTGAATGCTAGCAACTATCTCATTTTGGTACTATCATCTTATTACATTACTTGATGTTCGAATTGTCTTTGCAAAACATAAGTAAATTGGAATCGAGTATTCATCTAAGACGAACCATATTTGCAGTGAACCGCTTGGTTTATATTGAAATTTATTAAATGGATTAAAACAATTTACGTTTCTTAAGCAAAGCTAATTTAAAAAATAAACGGTTATGATCATCAAATAACTTTGCACAATCATTAAAAAAATACAATACTTTACTACTCAAATAATGAGTAGGAGTTCCTATCCAAAACCATTTGTTGCCGATTCACATAATTTCCTGTTCGTATTATAAATCACTCTATAAAGATCGCATCTGCAAAAAAAATCAATTAAAATTGAGATCATTTAGTCATCGAACTATATAAAAACAAATGAACAGAATTGGAAAAGGCATTACGAATTGTCTATGTATTTGTTACAATAAATTGACTAAATGATCTTAGTTTTAATTCATTTTTTTGCAAAGATTATCTTTACAAAGCGATCCATAAAATGAACAATTATGATCATAAACACAAAACGTTTTGCTTCGAACACGAAGAATTTTGAGTAGGAAGTCATACTCATCATTGAGTAATCAAGCATTGTTCTAAAAAAAATGTAAAAATTTGAGAAGGTTGCAAGTATACTTGAAATAGTAGTATATGAGCTCGTTTGAAAGTGTTTTTAATATGATTAAAAGAGCTTAGAGAACAAAATTTGGATTCCAAACGCACTTGAAATGTTGTTCCAAGATTTAGTTGTTGCATTTGTACTAAGAAATTGTTCAGAAGTTCTTTTCACTTAAAACGCTTTCATCCATTTTAAAAGTACTTATAAATGATATTATTTACACTAAGAGGGAAGGGTGGTGGACTAAGTCTCATAATGAGCTAGCAATAATGTGGTTAAATTTATCTTTGGCGAGAATCGAACTTAAAACCTATCACTTACAAAAGAAGAGAAATATTACTATATCATAGTATTAGGTGCCTTGTAACTTGTTTAGTTAAGAATATTCGTCCATACACATGAGATCTTGTATTCGAATTCTCCTCCTCGTAATTGAGATGAATCTATAAAGTTTCCAACAATTTGAAAGAAAAAAAACAAAAAACCAAAAAGACCAAAATTTGATGGGTTGGTGGTTGGCCCCCGCTGGGTATTTGCCGTAAATTGGGTTAATTGGATTTGACGATCATGATTGTGATGTGAAAATTGGACCCCACGGAATCACATCACATCAGACGTTAAGCCTACAACTGCCCAGGACTGATGACTCCCTGTCAACTTCGGCCACTATTATATTTTAAAACATACAATAAATATATATAATTAGTACACGGTACATTTAGTAAAATGAATATATGAAATTTTAACGAAAAGTTCACGTTATTGTTCATTTTAACGAAAAAACATATTTTTATATTAAAAAATCAAACTTGGTATTATTCACTTTACTCTTTATTTTATCCTTATAGTTAAAACTCAAAATTTTCAAACATTTTTCATTAGTTTTCTTATGAATATATGATACAAATTAATCTAAAAAATATATAAATATATTAAAATTTTGAAAATTATGCGGTAAAGATTAATTTAAAAAATAAACATAGGCACGAAAAGAAATTAAAATATATCCGTACAAATTAAACCAAAAATATATTGGTACAAAATTTAAAAAATGGGTACATATTAAAGATAGAAATATATGAAAAATATCAAAAGGGATATATTTAAAAATGACTAAATAAGTTTTAAATATTAAAATTGAAATATGATGACATGTAAATTATTTAATATTGAAATAATGATGTGAATAAGTCAAAGGACCTTGGTAAAAAATGAACAAGAAGTAAGGTTTCAGTCCATGAAAAATGAAAACAAGGGGAGAACCTAATTTTTACTTATTTTATATTTAACGAAAAATACTTCAACTATTATGTTGTTTTCGGTATGGGAATTGTTTTTAGCATTCTAAAAATCTCATTTGGCACTCCAAATTTTCTATAATTAGAAAGAAAAACACACTTGTGAGGAGTGTAGAATGAGATTTTTTTAGTGCTAATAACAATTCCCTTTGGTATGTGTACAAAACATTTCATGTTTTCAACACGCAACTCGTTTATCGACTACAATTTACAAAATGCCAAAAACTTTATTTCTGACTTTAACAGCATTTGCATCCCATCATTTTTCATAATATTGACAAGAGAACACACGATTTTAACGTGCAACTCATTTATATACAAACTAGAAAGTGCCAAAAGCTTACTTCTTACTGTTAAATGCATTTGCGCTCCATCATTTTAGATAATGTCAATGAAAATTGAGGCTTTCAGCGCGTAACTCGTTTATCAATCAGAAAGTACCAAAACTCTATTTCTAACCGTTAAAAGCATTTGCACCCCCTCATTTTTGTATAATGTCAACAGACATTTCGCATTTTCAATACGCATCTTGTTTCATCTAGAAAGTGCCAAAAGCTTTACTTTAGACTGTAAATGTATGTACATCACGTCGTTTTCTATAATGTTGACAAGATAATCGACACTTTTAACGCATGACTCGTTTATCAACTAAAAAGTGCCAAAAATTTATATGAAGGACTTACCAATGAATTTCAAAAGACAAAATATAGGAATTTTCCTAACAGTATAAGGAATTTACATTATTAGCTAATATTAAACGCTCATAGGCATGAGTGAATTTGACATCTTCTGGAAATAGAAGCTTTTATGTTCAGACGCCAAGATCACATGGCCTTCTTGCCATAAGACACAACCAACACCCCCTCCGTCTTTTGCCCCACCCAATGTGTCTTCGATCGAACAGCCACGTTGTTCGATCACCCGACACGAATAATTTATCATCTTTAGGCTATCTTCAATACAAGGGTGAGACATCCTAAAATTTAGTCCCGTATTTTTAATTATTCATCTATATGTATGAGCTCGGTGAGTATGGTGCTTCGTCATACCTATCGGTAAACCAGACCAAATTTGGATGGTTGGAACTTTTGTGAAAGGTGGTACCCTTGGACAAAGTCATAAGCATAATTGCAGCAGTACGAAGTATGATGTTTCCCCGTAACTCATAAGCTGAAATTGGATAAGCAAAAACATGGAATCAAATCAGCATGGCGGCACTTGGAGCTCTGTGCGATAGAGAAGTAGTTAGTGAAGTTATTAGTGGGTTTAAAGGCTCGTTTGGAAGTACTCATTTTTAGGAAAAACGTTTAAAGTGCTTGCAATTAGTGCATCTTGTAGGAAACACTTTAAGTAATTTTCCAAGATTTACTTAGCTCGTTTGGATGTGCTTTTAAAATAACTGAAAGCGCATTTGATGAAAATACTTTTAGAATAAATCCTGAAAAAGCACTTAAAGTGCTTCCTGGAAAAAGCACATATGCAGAAAACACTTTAAATGTTTTGGAACCCAAAAACATTTTCTCTAAAAGCACTCTCAATCATTTCAAAAATACATCTGAACGAGCTCTTATATTTTTACAAATGATTGGGGCCAAAAACATTTTTAATCATTTCAAAAGCACTTCGAAACGAGCACTTCTTTAAACGGAGTTTGTTCGTCATATGGGAAAGTTTTAAGGGACTTGTAGCTCGTGTAGTAAAAGAGTTATGTTCATGCAATCAACAAGTTGTGTGTTATAATCATCCTTCCCCATTATTGGTTGTATCAGAGAAGTTCATATGGTGAAATTATTAGAATTGAAGGTAAAATATTACCAAAAAAAAAAAATTGTTTGAAGTTTCGGTTATACGTTGTTATGTGTTTTAACTTGCTCATATGACATGTAGTGATAGGTTTTGAAATTTCATCACCTTAACGTTCCAGTTATATTCAAACTCAATATTTCACAAGAAAATCTAACTTATTATATAACACCGAAGAAATTTCACAACTAAAATCACTTGGAGTAAAAATGAATAATTTGGCGAATCACCCAAACAGAGAGCAAAGAGCATAGAGAAGCTCTACCTCTACTTCTGAAAACAGTGTTTTTTTTTTCACAGAACAGCAATCCCAAACTAACCCTTAGTCCAGTCCAATATAGTGAAAGTTAATGCGGGCAACAAATGCTCGGAAGAGCTTATACTGGTTGGGGTATTTGCCTTAAAAAGCCATATTGGGCTTTTGCTCTTTCTTTGAATGGGCTTCTGCCTTAAAGTCATATTGGGCCACGTCCGGACAAGATTGTATAGGCGGGAAAGAGTGAAGTACCGTTTGTACGAGTCCGAAAGAAACGACATGTCGTCCCTATAGAAGAACGCAAAATAAGGAAGACACACGAGACACGACACCCTTTTCTCCGTCTCTCTCTTCTTTACTAACTTTCTGCAATCAACTGAGCTAGGGTTTCCGAGTCGCCATGGCCGATTTCCAGAGCTCGACTCACCGAGCCAGGTGGATCTTCACTCCCGAAGAACTGGTAATTCGCCTCCTCCGTATTTCACCTTCTTTTCTTTGCTGGTTTCTTTTTTCTTTTTGTGTTCAGCGAGGGCCTGTTTGGTTGCCGAGAAATGAAGGAAAATATAGTTTCTAACTTTCTAGGTTTATTATTTCCATCGTTGTTGTGCCGAAAATTTAACTGTTTCTTTTGCTTTCGCTCTCTGTTTGATTTGCTCTGTGAAAAAATTGAAGTGGTGGCCAATTTATAAATTGGAGCAATTTTTGATGAAATTAAATGAAGAAGCTTGTTTTCTTTGAGGCATTGATGTTTGCAAGGCTTTGAAGTTGAATCGAAATTTCGTATGCGTTTATTGATTTGATTTTTCAATGTTATAGGTTGGTAAATACAAGGCTGCTAATCAAAGAGCAGTGCAAACATTGGAGAAGGTACGTATTGTTTGATCGAAACAAGTAACTGATATCTTCAGGCAACTCTCGTCGATAGCTGATTGTTTCACTTGTCTGTTGGAGTGAGAGTGTATGTACTAATGCATCGAGTGTACCTAATTAGATAGTTTTAGGAGATGTTTATTGCCTAAGCGGACTAGCAGAGGATGTGATGAAATTAGGGCAGTGTCTTGACATATTGGTTTAAGGATATAATTATACCTTTCTACTAATGCATGTGATTCTGTATGTCATTTGTAGTATTACATGTCGAAGATGTCCACATTTTGTCCCATAGGAAAATAGTTATCTTTCCGCAAAGTGGCTTGACTTGCTTTCCATTTTTCTAACAAACAATTTCTTGTGTAGTATGGAGCAACACTAATGGAAGTAGATGTAGATGGAACATTATCATACCCTAAACCCCAAGTAAATGGTAATGTTCTTTCGAGGACCCCCTCCCTCCCCCTCGTCCCCCACCCACCCAAACATACACGCACACGGAGCTGGTTTTCAATGGCTTTATTTATTTATTTATTGTCTTTAAATACAGCTGATTCCCGTCCAAAACCCATTAACATTGAAGAGGAGCAATTTATGCGAGTATTTTATGAGAATAAACTTCAAGAAGTGTGTACCAACTTTCATTTTCCGCATAAAGTTCAGGTATGTGGTCTCCTCTTTTGACAGAAAAAAAATAGTAATAATTATTTAGGAAGCATGAAACAAAAAATTTATCAATTTTAGCACTATCCATGTCTAATTGGTTTCATTTGCAGGCAACGGCTCTCATATATTTCAAGAGGTTTTATCTACACTGGTCGGTGATGCTACATCATCCAAAAAATATAATGTAAGGTTGGCTTATCTCTATTAAGTATCTCTGTCAATTTTCAGCATATGTGATTGTGTGGAATTTTGGTTCTTCTAGGTAGAAATTCACTAAGATGTTGAGACATTGTAGAAAATCAGGTCATATTTCTAATGTTTATTGTGTTTGTACATGTACCTAATTGTTTGTGGATTTCCAATTTAAATTGATTGACTTTTGCACAGGTTAACCTGTATATATGCAGCTTGTAAAATAGAGGAAAACCACGTATCAGCGGAGGAGCTTGGTAAGGGGATCTCACAGGATCATCAAATGATACTCAATAATGAGATGATAGTTTATCAGGCATGGATGTGCCACACATTTCTTTGTTGTTTTTATTTTGTTTCTGTTTTCTTTGTTAAATATAATATACCTTTATCTTGCAGACTTTGGAATTTGATCTTATCGTTTATGCACCGTACCGCTCAATTGAAGGATTTGTCAATGATATGGAGGTAAAATTTCTAACGGTTATATATATATATTTTTTTTTTTCATAATGCACTTTTAAGTTTTCTTAGAAGTTCCTTCCACGCACTTGGTGACAATTAGTGTTTGATTTGTAGGAATTCTGCGGATTAGAGGATAACCAGCTCCAACATCTCAAGGTAATTGTTGGCTTTATGTTAATTGTTATTTGGCTGAATAGCATGTTGAGTATCTGTATCTACACGACTGAATCTTTAAAAGTCATTCATTGTTGAGATGCTACATTTTGAATAACCAGTCACAGGCAATGTATTGCTTCATGTATGTTTCTTAACCGGCTACACATATGTTGATGGATGTTTTGATGAGATTGCAGGATGCGGCAAAGATGGAAGTTGATAAAATCATGCTCACAGATGCACCACTCCTTTTCCCTCCGGGGCAGGTATGATTTGTCAGTCAAGCTTCTTGTTGTTTACAGCTCAGAATTTTGTTATCAATTTCAAGCTATCTTAATTTGATGCAGTTGGCATTGGCTGCATTGCGTAGTGCAAATCATGTATGCAGAGTCGCTGACTTTGAGAGGTTATCATTTGCACTCGGATTTCCTATCGTTTTTGTTGATAGTTTTCTTTCCTGTATAGTTCTACTTACGCCTTCCCGCCAACTTGCCTGTTGGGTTTGTTGTTGGACGACGCTAAAAAAGTTTCTTGCATGTATGCTCATTTTCAGATACCTGAGTAGCATTCTCTCTCGGCAGAGTTCTGCGCATACCATTTCAGAGCTAGTCGAATTCCTCAATGCAATCGATTCTTGGGTATTAATTCATTGCAATCAGCATATAAATGTGTTGCAAACTTCATAGGCTCTCTGATAGTGGCACGAACGTTTGTGAAAATTTCCAATCTCGTTTCTTCATGTCTAATGTATGTAGGCAAAAAGATACAAGTTTCCTTCAGACAAGGATCTCAAGCACATCAACCGGAAACTGAAATCTTGTTGGGGACTTAGTACACATGACGAGTATGCTCCTTATCTTGAGATAATCACGTTTAATCTGGTTACCTTTTCCTTTTGTATCAATGCCATACATTGACTGCTTTTCAGGAGCAAGAAGCGGGATAAGAAATCAAAGCACAAGTCAAAGAGGAGTTCAAATGAAGCACAAATTCTACCATCTCGTGCTCAAATGTATGCCCTTTTTGGTATTCTGTTGTTTTAATTGAAGGTCTAGTGCGGGTGTGGCTACCATTTGGCGGCTTAGTTTTGTGAAATTCGCGATCTTATCTCGGTTTCTGGGCAATTTCATGCGCTTGTCCCTTAGGGATTGTTGATACACTGCTGCTGGTGTCTGAACAGTTGGAGAGCCCCAAATTTAATTTCTTACTGTATTAACACCTTTCGTCTGGTTTCAGGTAAATTTATCTCGGTCTTTCCATGGGATCCAGTTCGTCAGGCTCGGAAAAATGCTCCAACCAGTTATCCTGTACCGTTTACGGACGACGATAATTTTTACCCGTGCTTTAACTAATGTTTTCTTTCTCCTTATCTTGCTATCTTCGTTTGTGTTCTGTTGTCAAATTAATCTAATTTGTGACTTTGAGTTTGAATGCGATGAAGAATTTTATCTGCAAAAAAAAAAAAAAAAAAAAAAAAGCCAGTAATGAAAGTATCTTCCATTATATTCAACAAAATGTGTGTATTTTCCAATAAAAGAATGCAAGGCTTTTTGGTTTCGACCATAATAGGGCTTCTATCTGAAAACGCTGAAAAGGATAATAGAGAAATGCAAAGGAGATACGTGAGACTCTCTAGTATATTATAATATTGATACGAGAATTAATGCTAAATAATGAGGTGACAGAGAGTTCGTGAAGGGTGAAGTGTTTTATTTTGAGAGAATTTTTTTAGGGAAGGGGATCCTCTTCGGATCTTTTCCATCTAATCCATTTTAGTAAACAATTCGAGCTATTGAAAATTGATCTAACAGTTAAAGTTATTATAATTTTTAAAATGGGATTGATTTTTAGTCGTTGAATCAAATTTCAAGGATACAAATTGTTTGATGAGGTGAATTTAGGTGAAAGGAATACACAAATGATCCGTTTTCTATTTTTTGTATTTCCAAGAAAAGTCATTGAAAAGGATCCCACAAATAAAAAAATTAAAAAACACTTAATAAACTTTCTTTAATCATTAGGACAAGAGGTGGTGCCAATATTATAAATAAATTAAAGCTTGGGCATAATAACAGTTTCGTAATTAAGTCGAAAGTGGGTGACACCGACAACTGTTTCTTCATAAAACCCACAACGGTTTCCTCATACTCCACAGAATTTATTCTAAATTTGCACCCTATTTGTATTTATTCAGATTTTGCACCCCTACTCGTATTTATTCTAAATTTGCACCCCTATTCGTATTTTGGGTTCGGGTACGTATGTTGCTCCTCGGTCTCAGACAAAAGCAGAAACCACACCGTTACCTCAGACCAGTTCAACAAACGTCTCCGTTTAACCCTTCATCTCCTTCCTTCCCACTGCTATACCCTGAAAGGCAGCAAGAAAGAAACCCTAGCTTCTGCCCGTATTTTCCCGGAAACCAAACAGGAAGTAAGTGTTTCATTACTGTAAAATGCAGATCGTTATTTTTTATGTTTTTTTTTTTATTTTTTATATTTTGCTATGCAAACCACAGGAAATGCCTCCAAGAAATTCACCACTTCCGGTCAGACTTTCATGCCAACCAATTTCAGAAGCAGGTTTTGTTCTTCAATCTCGTTTCACGATTTCTTCCATTTGTGCTTTTACTGGTACAGAATTTGAACCGGAATCGGGTTTTTTTCACTTATTTAATTCAAGTTCCATCCTGTTTAATTGTCTGTGATACAAATTTTGTGCTCCTACTTGTACTAAAAGAAATCTTGATATCAGCTTTGACAATGTCATTCAGATGAACTCATGGCTGTTCCGGACACCCGAGAACTTTGCTTAAAACCGACTGTTGCGTAAAAATTAGAGATGAAATACAATGCCAGCGTATTAGTTATTAAGCCCGTGTTTCGTTTCATCCAGTTACGCTTAGTTCACTGATTAGTTTGCATACGATATCATACTAGTAATGTACAATGCTGATACCGTGCTTGACCATACATGTCCGGAAATTCGGCCTACTGATAGCTGAAACCAGTCCTACCTTGTAACTGTGGTACCTAAACCCAATTTGTATAACATGAATGAGTTTTTCATGGTGGAATCACTTAAGTCTTGATGTTGGTTTTCGTTCACTTGGCGTCCTAATGTGGCATGTTTAGCATATTAACTGTAAAACCTTGAGTCTTTATGTTGCTTGAGAGGGCAGAGAGAAGAAAAAATCATGGAAAGAGATGGACGGAACAAAAAAACCCCAAAGGGGTTAGGGAGTCTGAAAGTTGATATTCTATTGAATCTATTTCGTCCTTGAGGATTTAATGGCATATTCTCTAGAGGATGATGAAATACGATGATCTTCATCTGTATTCATCATTATGTTAAAACTGTACTTAGCCAAGTGTGATTAGGTGCGTCAAAAGGTATAAAATGTATTAGGATTAGAGATGAAATACAATGTCAACGGAAATGAGGTTTTAGACGTGCATCTAATGATCCACTGCATCGATAACGTTTAGACTGAGGATGTATTTGTTTCACTACAACCTCAAAGGCTCCAAATCATCTGCCAGGTTGGGGTGTTCCAGCATGAGTCCATTGTGAAGGTAGAAACTTCTGCCTGAGTTCGCTGATTTTCCGGAAGTTAGCATTCCGTTCGATGATATGTTAACTGAAAATAACATATTAGGGAAGAAACGAAAATTTAAAAAAAAGAGAGAAAATGAAAAAAAACTGAAAGTTTCTTCTTCAACACTTCAAAGGCGTTCCATTTTTTCATGGTGAACCGACAAGCCTATCCAGAACTTAAGCGTTAGGGCATTTGCATTGAACCCTCATACTTATTTATTGTTCCTTCTTGCTCTGTTTAAGCTAACTGTATGAATTACCTTTGCAGTTGCAAAGCCTTCCGCCACTCCAGCAGTACAAATAAAGCCATACCATCTTCGAATCGGAGTTGTCAAGATCATCTTCGGACGCCCTCAAAACCGCTTTTGAAAATTATGTCTTGTTATAGGAATGTACACTCTTGTAGCCACACGATCATGTTTGGTTATTGGGTTGGTCCTGATATTGATGATGGATGGGGCTATGTGGAAGCTTTTATTAATCCAATCACTAGAGTATTGTTCAATATTCCATGTTTTTTCTCCTTATGTTTTGGGATATTTCATAGATTCATTCAAGACACACTTTTTGTATGTGTTAACAACGTCCAATTTGTCGATGAAAACGCGTAAAAATTGTTCAAATTTTAACATGTGAGGGTCAAAAACCAGCAAGGTACATAAGAGCAAACATCGGCCGGAATCGTGCTGGAAGCTGGTGTAGGCTGCTGCCTCAGAAACATGGTCTGATGTTGTGCTGTTTATTAATCCTAACAAATTAAATGCAGCCTTCGAAATGTGTCTTGATTAGGACAGATTGTAACTCTAGACACTAATTTGGTCACCTTTTTCATAGGTAAAGTTGAGCAGCTGCAACTCACATAGATAACCCATGATCTCTTGAGCCCTTTCTCATGGAAAATGAAATATGGATTCCTGTTAGATTACAAAGGAGAGAGATTGTTATGGAATTTAGGAGGAAAATGTATATTTCAGAGAGAGGATTCACAGAGAAATATGAACCAATTTCATTTCATCATCATTGCTTATCGGAATGTGACCGACTACAAAAACAATGTAGGGCATTGTTACACCTTCTCTCTCTCACACAAGAAAGAATACATCACAGCCATTCATTTCATCCATTCTATGAGATAGCTATAGTTGTCACTCTACATTGCTGACTCTCATTCAATCTAGAGCATTCATTTTGGAATGTAATCCAATGGCTCTATTTAAAACAAGTAAAAAAATGAATTGGTTTATTTCAGCTAAAACACTTAAACACTAACACTCCCTTCTAAGTTTTTAGCTAAAATCACTCCCAAAGCCTTCCTCAAATACTCGAATCTATCCCTTGCCAATGCTTTTGTAAAAATATCATCAACTTTGTTTTCAGTTTTGCAATAAATCCGATCAACTTCACCATTCTGCAGTGCATCTCTGATAAAATGAAACCTTCTGTTTATGTGTCTTGTCTTATGATGTGCCGCTGGATTCTTAGAGATTGCAATAGCTGAGGTATTATCACAGAGAATCTGAGTAGGTTCCACTTGTTCCTTTCCAAAATTTGATAAAACAAATCTTAGCCAGATGGCTTGAGCAGTTGCCTCTGCAGCACTAACATACTCAGCCTCTGCAGTGGACAAGGCTACACTGCTTTGTTGATTGAAGCCCAAGAGAATGCTCCAGAACCAAAGCTAAATGCATATTCGGATGTGCTATTCATGTCATCTTCACTTCCTGCCCTGTCACTATCACAGTATCCAATAAGCACAACATCTTTACCCTTCTCATATGCAATTCCATAGTCCAGTGTGCCTTGGATATACCTTAGCACTATCACAGTTCCCATATGTTTCCTGGTTGGATTATGCATGAATCGAGCAAGTAGACTTGCAGCAAACATGTTATCAAGTCTTGTAGCTGTTAAGTATAACAAACTACCTACAATATACTTATAGAGACTCTCATCAGCTAATTCACTTCCATCTTCTTTGATTAATCTTTCATTTGTTGCAAGTGGAGTTGCAACAGGTTTGCACTCCTTCAATCCAAATTTCTCCAACAAGGTTCTTGCATATTTCTTTTGATGCAGAAAGATACTACCTTCTGTTTGAATGACACCAAGTCCCAAGAAATGATGCAATAGTCCCAAATCAGACATTTCATACTTTCCCATCATTTATGCTTTAAACTCATTCATTAATGCACTGGAACTCCTTGTGTATATAATGTCATCAACATACAAAGAAACAATGAGAATTCCTGCCTCAGTGACTTTGATGTAGAGAGTTGCCTCACTTGGACTTCTGTGAAAACCAGTACTGTAGAAGTGAGAGTCAATTTCCTTATACCAGGCCCGTGGTGCCTGTTTCAACCCATACAAGGCTTTCTTGAGCTTGTAAACCTTGTCCTCCTTGCCTTCAATCACAAAACCAAATGGTTGATCTACATATACTTCCTCATTTAGAACTCCATTTAGAAATGCTGACTTTACATCGAGTTGGAACAGCTTCCATCCTTTCTGTGCAGCAAGTCCAATTAGAGTCCTAATAGTATCAAGTATTGCCACATGAGCAAATGTCTCATTGAAATCGACCCCAGGCTTTTGAGAGTATCCCTTAGCCACTAACCTTGCCTTATTCTTCTATATAGACCCATCTAGGTTCAATTTTGTTTTGTAGATCCACTTGACACCAACAATTGGCTTATCAAGTGGTCTATCAACAAGTTCCCAAGTGCAGTTTTTCTCTATCATACCAATTTCTGCCTGCATTGCCTTCTGCCATGACTCATCTTGTGATGCTTTCTCAAAGTTCTCAGGCTCAACTATGCACATACTGCATTTTGCATACACTTCTGTCAAACTCTTAAACTTCAAAGGTGTGTGATCATAGTCTTGTGGACCTGTGATATTCTACATTGGAATTAACCTTGAACCGTTTTCAATTGATTCATAGACTTCATACGCAAACTCATCATTTACATTGCATTTGTCACTTGAACTTCTTTCTTCTCTTTGTTCTCTCTCTTCTCTTTGTTTTCTCATTTCCACTTCAGGTAGTGGTACACTGATAGTATTTTCAGATTGAGAATTCCAATCCCAGCAAGTATTTTCATCAACTATCACATCTCTTGACACAATTATCTTTTTTGAGACAAGATCATAAAGTCTATAACCTTTCTCACATGTGCCATATCCCAAAAAAATACATTTAGTGTTGGTCTCATCTAGCTTTTGCTTAGTTAAGTTGGAATGTGAGCATAACATATAGAACCAAAAATCTTCATGTGTTTGATTCCTGGCTTTCTTCCACTATAAGCCTCAAAATGAGTCTTCTTATCAAGAGCCTTAGTGGGACATCTATTCAGAGTGTACACTGCTGTGTTGACAGCTTCTGCCCAAAAATCAAGTGGAACTCCCTTCTCAACCATCATACATTTTGCCATTTCCACTATGGTTCTATTCTTTCTCTCAGCCACACCATTTTGCTGTGGTGTATAGGCTACTGTTAATTGTCTTTCCATGCCCATTTCTTCACAAAATTTCCTGAATTCAGTAGATGTATACTCCCATCCTCTATCACTTCTCAACCTTTTCAACTGATAACCACTTTGCAAATTCAATTGTGGCCTTAAATTTCTTGAAGATATCAAATACCTCAGACTTGTTTATCAAGAAATAGATCTAACACATTCGAGTGCAATCATCTATAAAGGTAAGAAAATACCTATTTCCTGCTTTAGTTGTGGTTTGCATAGGTCCACATATATCTGAGTGAATAAGTTCTAGAGGAAGAATAGCTCTCCATGATGCTTCCTTTGGAAATGCATCTTTGCAATGCTTCCCAAAAAACACATCCTTTACATATCTCATATGTCATCTTGAGTTTAGGTAATCCCAACATCATATCATGTTCTTTGAGTTGCTTCAGACTATTTAAGTTCAAATGTCCCAGCCTCCTATGCCAAAGTGTAGAAGACTGACACACATTAGCTTTTAGAGCCATCTGCATTCCAGATTGAAGTCTCATGGGAAAACTTCTGTTTCCTTTCATTGGTACTTTGGCTATCAAGTTTGACATAGATTCATCATCATATATAGCTGCAGTAGTACCACCAAACACCAAGAAGCAACCGTGTTCCATCATCTGTCCCACATTGAACAGATTTTCTTGTAAACCTGGAACTAACATCACTTCCTTGATATATCTTTTCACCATTTTGGTTTCAACTGCTAGATTGCCTTTCCCTATGACCTCAATAAGCTGACCAGTGCCCATCTCAACCTTAGTAGTCATAGTTCTATCAATATCAACCAACAATTTTTCTTTTCCAGTCATATGATTGCTACACCCACTGTCTACATACCATGTGTCTTCACATTTCTTCACAGTGGCATTATTGCAGACATAAAACATTGTAGGAGTGTCATTGACTTGATTCACAAAGTCTGCATGTTGATTTACCTTCTTGCCACGACAGTCCTTTGCAATATGCCCAAGTTTATGACAATTATGGCACCTAGGTTTGTCTTTGAACCAGCATTCTCCAAAATGCAACTTATCACAATGTATGCAAGGATTCTTAGCTCCTTCAGAGGTACTTACAGCTTTTCCAGCTTGATTTACAGGTTTGTTATCTCCTTTCTTCCACTTTGACTTCCAATTCTTTTGTGGTTTAAACCCCTGATTTCCATTGTACTTATTTTGCTTTGGAGTAATATTGAGACTAACAAAAGCCTTCTCAGTGTGAGCCTCATCATGCCTATCAATTCTTTGTTCATACCCTTTTAGAATAGCCACAACATCTTGAACATCAACAGTGTCTAGATCCTTAGTATTCTCGATAACAGAAGCAATACTATCATACTATCTAGGTAAAATGATCATCAATTTTTGGACAATTCTCTGATTACTAATATTCTCACCATAACTCCTCATTTGACTAATCAGATCAAATTGTCTAACTAGATATGTAGAGAAACTTTCATTTTCACCCATTCGAGTATATTCAAAATCACGGTGTAAGCCTTGGAGTTTCATAGGCCGTACCTGTTTATCTCCCACAAATTCTTGTTTCAGTACATTCCAAGTAGCATTTGCAGTCTCTTGGATGGTGATTCTCGGAAAGATCTGATCAGAAACCGCCCCTTGAATGATTCCAAGTGCCTTCGCATCTCTGACTATATTCTCTTTCAATAGCTTGCTCTCAGCTACAATGAGTTCTTCATCCTTCTTCGCCGAAGTTTCGACATCATTTTCGACGATATCCCAGAGCTCGTGCGATCGAAATATTATCTTCATCCGAATCTGCTAGAAATCAAAGTTATCACCATTGAATACCGGCGCACGAAGATCAGCTCCACTCGATCTAACCATATGAGACGAGATCTAAGATCACTACACTTTCTTCTTCGAGTTTTCTTCAGTGAGAAAGCTCAACGGTCAGTTCGAGCTCTTCACTGTGAGCTTCATAGATTCACGCCCAGTTGCAGATGATGCAACCTGGGTCTGATACCATGTTAGATTACAGAGTAGAGAGATTGTTATGGAATTTAGCAGGAAAATGTATATTTCAGAGAGAGGATTCAGAGAGAAATATGAACCAATTTCATTTCATCATCATTGCGTATCGGAATGCGACCGACTACAAAAACAATGTAGGGCACTGTTACACCTTTTCTCTCTCACACAAGAAAGAATACATCACAGCCATTCATTTCATCTATCCTATGAGATAGCTACAGTTGTCACTCTACATTGCTAACTCTCATTCAATCTAGAGCATTCATTTTGGAATGTAATCCAATGGCTCTAATTAAAACAAGTAAAAAATGAATTGGTTTATTTCAGCTAAAACACTTAAACACTAACAATTCCTACTATTCTTATTAAATGGAATTTACTATTTCTTTCATACACGAATCTCCTCTCGCTTTGCGCTCTTAAACAATCTGAGAGTTGGTGTACACCAATGAGGAAAGAAGACATTCCAAGATCTGGTTCCACAACTTGTCCAACAGTTAAATGAAGATAAATGTTGTGACCATTGAGCCTTTTGGAGATTGTGCTTCGAATTAGCTAACTTGGGTTGGAGGTGGATTGTCTGCCCTCCCATTTCCATACTCTCCTCATACCCTCCTGTGATGTGTGGTCACGGTTAAGTTACGTTAACGTTTTATATTAATTTTTTATAGAAATAATAAAACAAAAAATAAGAGGAATATAAAATATTAACGTGGTTTAACCGTGACCACACAAACATGAGGGGTTTGAGAGAGTATGAAAATGGAATGTCAGACAATCCACCTACACAATACGTGCAATTGCAAAATAAAGACAAATGCATTGAGAACTGATCCATTTAGAGTTGATTGGGAGTCAAACTTGAATGAGAACTCATTGTCGCGAATGTACCATATGATATTATTTATGAGTAAAACCATGACATAGTACTAGTATCGTACATCATTACTAAGATCGTTATTCCTTTAATTTATCAATTGATTAACCTTGTGCGTAAGCGTTCATATATGTACTTGTTTAATGATATGGCGAGACAAATCAGAGAGAGTTTGTGATGGTTGATCAGTGGTCCCCTAGCTATATGACCTTATAAATGGAAACCCTAGGAAGCATGTTGAGCCCTAACTCTGACAGCTTGTAATTTTATTGGACTAGGATTCTCTCTTCTCCTTTTTCCATTCCATTCCATCTTCTCTTCTCACATTCTTTTATTTTGTCTTTCTCTTGCTATAAAAAATTAATATAAGATGTTGACATGGCTTAACCGTGACCGTTCAAATAGGAGGAGAGGGAAGGGGAGTGAAAAAAAGAGGGGAGAGAATCCTACTCCAATTTTATTAGTACATAGAGTAGGGTTTTTGCACTAATCTTTAACGGGAAGATTACCCTAATCCATATTCCAGAAGCATATAGTAAACTATATTAAGCATGCTTGAGATTCTATCAGACTACTTTAATTTCACAGTAACTCATGTTACCTAAAGCCACAAAAGATTAGTGGTCCTAATCCTAGGGTTAAGAGCAAACCCTAAACCTAGTACTGCATACTGCATTGTTAATTCAGTATACTTGTATTCGATTCTTAATGACTAATCTGCAATTATGTATATATGAAAGCTTCACTTTGATAGTATTTCGGTTCTGTTTGCTAACCATTTCTTTTTCGGTTTTTTGGTTTTCATTTTGTATCTCATTGCTTATCTATTTCTTTGAATCTCTCCCATCATCCTTATCTTTCTTCTCCATCCTTCATTTTTCTATATTTTCTCATCGCTAACAAAAAAGTGAAAACCAAAAGCAAAAATCGAAATGGTTATCAAACAAGCACTTAGTTAATTAACTCTCATGGATATGCTAGGTTGTGGTATTTGATGGACTAGACATGCTAGTTAACTATTCAGTTCAAGATTCTTATATATTCATGCATAATTAGCCCGTAAATATTTGGCATTATTTATTAGACAAGTAAACTGTGTAATTGCAAATCTCCAAGAACACCTATATATGGTTTAGGAGGAAATTTCTAAGATAAGGGAATGAGATACAGTACAGCTCATAAGATATAGTCATGGAGGAAATTTATTCAAGGCTCGAATGGACCAAAGGAAGAATTTGATGACAAAAAATAATTTGCTACAAAAACCAGAGAAAAGATTAGATTAAATTTGAAATAGATAACTAGCTAGATGATATATACACATTTGAAATAGAATTTAAAGGAGAACTTTCTTTGTTTCGTCACTTTCTTTCTTCTGTCAAAATCCTGACATGAATCTATGAATTGTAATAGTCTAAACAAACAATTTTACCTTATAATTCTGTCTTAATCCTTAAATCTGAAATCACTTAAGTGCAAATTAGCACTAATAAATGAAATAAAAGAAAGAAGAGAAGATATTCTTAATCCCAACCATATATATATATATATAGCTCAAATATATATATATATTTTTCTTTTTCAGATTGATATATAACCAGATCTTGAAAGAGAAATCGAGCGAACCCGTAATACACTGTTAAACGCAGCTACAATACTTTTTTTTCTCATTATCCGAAAGCTATACCCCTCCTTAACTAAGAAAAAAAAAGGAAAGAAAAATTAAACTAAAGCGGAAAACACCTGAAGAAATTAAGCATGAATATTTGAGAAGAAACTTGGATTATTTTCCACTTACTAGCAAGTTAATTAAGCCAGTTCATATCAAACCTGATAGTTCACTGACGGCAAAAGTGCAGGCATAACTAATGCCAGCCAAACTCAAACTGTCAAACATCGAGTGGTACGATGAAAAAATCTGACCTAAAACATCATCCGGAAACTTTTTAAGTTTCAACTGAAACTTTATTTGGCCCCAGATCCCATCGGTACTGTATTCTTGATCAAGGTCATGGCTTGGTAACAAGGGAGTTGTCACCTTTCCCAAGCACCCGAAACTCCAGATTTGAAGTTTGATTTTGCTGCGGTACCTGCAGGCCTCCATAACTTTTAATATCTGCTGTGTTTTGGTTGTTGTTAGCTGCAGCTTTGTCTCTTTCAGCTTCCCTGTATTTATGCAAGTACCTTATAGTAGCCTGGGCATAGTTATCAAACCCTAGAGCACTCAGAGCCCAACAGATGTCGTCTCCATTGACGGTCTTGCGATTCTCCTTGTGACACTTGTCAGAAGCCTCGCCAGTTACAAAACTTAGGAACTCAGTTGCACATTCCTGCATTGTTTGTTTGGCTTCTTTGGAAATTTTGGCTCTTGGGGGAAGAATTTGCTTCATGATTCGACCCACGTTTGCAATTGGGAGCATTCCATCTTGTTCCTGATCTACCATGTTGATTGATCGATCCATACAATTAGATTTTGGAGGAGTTAATTTGATCTCTTCTGAGACAGACACATTGCTCTAGATCAGAATTCACGCTTGTTTTTTTATAGATGTTTATGTATATGTGTGTGTATGTACGTATGTGTCGATGTCACAAGTCATGACACTAGTATTAATTAATTCTATAAGTGGTTTAGTATTTGATGATACGTACCCTAACTATTCTATATTAAAATAAGAAAAATATTTGTTTTTAACTACTAATCAAAATAAATTTTCAAATTTTAATGAAGTATTACTAATAAAGTCCAACTTGTCCAAATATTATAATGGTCAAAATAGAGCTTAAGGTGACTTTAAGTAAACTAATTGATCTAATTAGCAAGAAAGAACCACTAATTCTTTACACTATTTCTACAAAATTTTAATTAGTACGTAGTATCTGAAGCCGTATTTGAGAAGGAGAAGTAGTTTTCAACATATGTAGACAGTGGGTTGAAGCCCAAGGTAGGATTTAAAGTACAATGGTCCCCACCAAACCTCTAATCTCTCTTACTAATCTAAAATTAATTAATCCTAAAGTGTTCTTGTAGTTCGTACTACTAGAGAATTTTTTTATTATGACTGGAATACAGAAGAAGGTACATCACGTGTTTTTATATAAATTAGGGAAAATTTTATTTTTTAAGTTATTAACTTTTTAACACGCATATTTCACTATTTATATAAATACACGTTGTATACCATCCCGTGTAATGGTCATATTGAAAAATTTCTTGAAATACTGATCAGTTGAGTGGATGGCGTTTGTGTGGATGGCGTTTGTGCACGTTTCATGTTTATTCGTTTAGGGATGGATCCAACCAAAACCTACCTCAAAGGAAACCTTAGTGTTTGATTAGCTCATGCATTAGGTTTAATTATGAGTTTGTCACTCTATTTGGTAACAAACAGGCAATGCATTTCCTTAATTTTAGCTGTGAATCATGCAAGTAAGTTAGGTTTTGGTCAGGTCGACCCTCCAACTCACTAGTAGAAATGCTGAAATGGGGCCTAAGGCCACATGGTATATGGCACATCTTGGATCTGGGGTCAGTGGAAAATTAGCATTACGTCTTGTGTGAAGAAAAATTAAAATAAACACGATATAAAACTTCTCTTGAAAAAATAACCCAAAAATCTTTACTGGTGTACATAAAATAATAAAATTCTCAAATCTCACATCTAACACAATCTCAGTTTGTCTAGTCATTGTCTTGCCAAATAACTTATCTGTAAAATGAAAAGTGAGGATGCTAAGCAACAACCATCGCCGATAAGTAGAATATGTAATATGCCAATCAAACTTGTCGTTTTACATATACTATAAAATATGATAATAATATCAAGCTTTAGCCATGTAATTCCACATCACATCATCTCTTCGCGTGTTGGTTATCCATTATCCATTATCCATCTTAAAATATAGCTCACTACATGACTCCTAACATCCCCATGTGCCATACATATCCCTCGGATAACCCAACACTAAAATTCACATGCTCCATGAACAATCACAAGAGTCCTCAAAGTGTATATTCGCATATCAAAACACTTCTTGAAAGCTACTTCTTGAAAGCTAACATGCTTGAATTGAAAAATAGATAGAAATTTTTTAAAATATAGCAAATTCCATGATAGCTGATGTTTTTCATATTTATCGCAAAATAAGAAATTTTACAACACATTACATAAATCACTCACTTCGGTGGTTAGAACCTCGACAAGAAAATCCCATTAACAATCTCCACACATCAAACTTACTAATCCTCTCTGGATACATGAATATACACATATATAAATCAAGGGGTGTGCTATCCACACACTCTATTTTACTTCTCACACACCCCTTGATAATTTTTGTCCGTTGATCTTCTTCAATTCATCCAATCCTATTTACTAGTCTAATTTGGATTACTATTAACTAGATGCAAACATTAATTGACTAATATAATTTTTTTTATGAGAGATATTTTGTTAGATAAAACTTTAACCATACATTAAAGCGTCTACAAACATAAAAATATTAACAGTAAAAATAATAAATTAAAAAACGATAAACCACCCACATCACAACGTTTAAGTAAAACGTCAAGTCCATAGTGCTCAGTGAGCTCACCAAAACTCAAAGTAATGTCACAACGAATTGAAGTTGCGCTGCCATAAAACTAATCGCATCTCGCCTTAAATAACTATAAGTTCTTAAATTGTCCAATTCCATATGCATGTTTTAAGAAGCATATGGTCTTGTTGCAAATACAATTATATATAATATTGCTACCTTATGTTACAGTTTGGAAGAACATTTGTAAGATATAACTAGCTAGTTATGCAAAGTGAGATAAGTATAAATAAAATTTCAATTTGTTTAAACCATCCACAAACGTGCTTAATTACTTTTTACATTTTGCATTGTACTTAACGATCCACATTATCACTTATGCATCCCCAATTTAGAAGTTAAACCCTTCCATAATTCCATTGTTTATTCATCAATCGAGATATCCGATCTCCATTAGACTGGTTAATAGCAAACTCAAACTTTGCTTATAAATAAGATTGGATTAGGCCTATAAAGCATATATGCTTTGAATTAAATACGAACCAACTTGTACAAAAGGTTCTTCAATTCCATTAAAAAAATCTAGCCTTTGAAAAATCAATTATTAGGTTGTAAGTAGAGGAGTTTGTTCCTATGTTCCTTCTTTCTTTCTTTTTTTTGTATTTTATTTTTCAAGAGGGGGAAGGTTGATGTCTTCTCTAACTAAGTGTAACTTTACTTTTTTATATCAATAAAATTTCTTCATACCGCCAAAGTTCTAAAAAAAATATGATGCACTAATGATATAGTAATAAACAAATGGAGATGGGTGACACAACACATGACACAAAAATCCTAAATATTCGGAACTTCATATACAATAAAGAATGCTCTTAACTAATTGGCCTGCAAAGGTAGAAGAATAAAACACATCTTGTACTTCCCTCTTTTTGGAGGCCATAATCCGACTTTGTTTTGATTCCTTTCTTTCTCTTTTTACATTACCATCTGATGAGTGGCATTCGATTAAGACAGGAAATGAAGAAGTACTTTTTAATGTTTTTCAGTTAATCCTTTGCATGGAAAGTTCTGGACTTGCTTTAGAGAGAAATATTATTCTTGATGTCCAGCAGGAGCAGATATTGGGCACCTAGCTACTACCTAGCCAGCTAAAAATGGAGTCTCTTCTTCAAATTCTCCTCTTTCTTCATCTTTTATTTGAACAATGACGATTAAATTACGTCAATATCTTGTATTTTCTTTATAGAAAGAGAAAGACAAAGAAGAAAGTGAAAGGAGAGAAGATGAGGGGATTTGGATTGGAGATAATCCTACTCCGCTAAAAATAGACATATATGTACCATATATTCTAGCTAGATCAAATATTCCAGCCGACAATGGATATTTTTATGACTTCCTTTTGTGATGATGTTCTACTGTTTTTTTAACAAGACCACATATATATACACATTCTCTCTAAAGTTATATGAAAATAATGATTCGCAATTGGAGGTTTTCTCGTTTTTAAGTACATAGTTCTTGTTATTGATGGAGACCTAGTGTAGCCTTCTGCTCAATTCTCTTACATGATTCGATCAAGAATTCCGCTCAATACTCTTACATGATTCGTTCAATTGTCTTGATCAAAAGTAAACTTTATTGTAGGGGTGGGTGCGAGTTGGTTTGGTCAAAATTGCAAACCAAAACCGACCAAACTGGATCTAAAACTAATCAGTTCAGTTAACCGAATGTGGCGGGTGGGTTTGGATTGGTTCTCGGTTTATGTGAAGACGAAAATACATAATAAATTTATCTTCCAAAAGCTACAAAACATAACACCAATATGAGTGATTGCTCAAAGGAAAACACAAATGAAGCAGCACAAGGAGAGCACCAAATCAGTAGCTGCTGCGTTCTCCAAATGGTGCCCTTGTTCTTCTCCAAAGGGACTCTTAGACTAATCGGGTTTTGTTTTCATGTAGTGAAAACACGGTAACTCATAAATAACTAACCATTTATATTATTACATGTATTAATTATGATTAAAAAATAAAAATAAATATATGCAGGTCGATTTGGTTAACCGCCCCCTAAAAATTTTGTGAACCAATTGTCAAACACATTAAAGTCAGTACGGTTCGGTTTAATCACTCAAAAGTAAAAATAAAAAATAAACCAAACCAAACCATCTGTTCGGGCTGTTCAATCGGTTTTTTCTTTAAAATGCCCAGCCCTACTTTATTGTATCAAAACTTTAAATAGAAGGTCATTAGTCCACTACTAAAAGGTCAAGTACTGATATTGTTTTCAATTCCACCACCTATTAGACCAACGTGTGTGAAATTAGCACAAAAGACTTTGATAAATTAGAAATAAAGCCAATCAGTATAGGTACACTCTTCAACGAGAAAGTCTTTTGTACGGGTGCCGGATCAGAAGGATAATTAGAGGGGGTAAGACCAATAGTGGGTCGGAATTAGCATGACAGATCAGAGATAGTGGGATAAAGGGTGTTTTCGGTGTTTGATTGTTGGACCTCAGAATTTCTCTTCAACATATTGTGCTCAAATGCGGGATTTGGTTTGTTTTCAACAAGCCCAAACGAGATTGAAAAATGGGTTGCAATTTGGTTTGAAGCCTGCACTGATAAGTCCAGGAGCTAAGAGGCTCAGCTGTGCTTTTCTAGCCTGGATTGTACGCTTGTATTTGGGCCTCGCTTAGCTTGGGGTCTTAGGGAAAAGAAGGGATTTAGTACTGGTTTGGTACTAATGCGATTTTATAAAAAGTGGGTATCAAAAAAAGTTGAGCTTAAAAAAGTATTTGGTAAATACTTAAAAACAGCTTATTTTCACAGTTTTGGATGAAAATAAAAAACTGAAAACGTGAAGCAACAAAAATGAGCTTATTTTCACAGCATAGCAGAAACATTTTTTTTTCAAAGCACAGCAATATCAAACCAGCCCTTAGGCACAAATAGCAAGGGTTGCCTACAACATCACACACGATTGAAAACCGACGAAAACTATATATAGTACTATTTACATATAAAATATAATACTTGATGTGTATGTACATAATACTTGCATACAAAAGTCTCATTGGCCGTCAGACTCTTACATAAGGTATTGTTTGGCATGCAGACGGGACGGGACGAAACGGAGAGACAGCAAAGATGCCCTCGGATGAAAACAAGGAGGAAGAAGAAGAAGACGAAGATGTGGAACGAGTCGTTCCAGGGGGTGAGGTGGAAGGAAAATTCACCCAAAATTCGTCCCTTGGAACAGCGCGTTCCACCCTTTTTAGGCGCACCAAACGTGGGACGGAACGTCTCGTCCCACTCCGTTCCGTCTCATCCCAAGTACCAAACGGTACCTAAAAGAACTCAATATCGGAAGGGTACATTTTGATGTCGTTCTCTTTTTCGACAACTCATGAACTGAAAGGGCATTTTTGATAATTTACTGTACCGGCTTAAAAATAAAGATGAATCAAACAATAAAAGAGGGGTATTTTCTTCTTTTACTGTGCTTAAGAAAAATGTTTTTTTTTTAGGAACTTTAACGAAAAGCTCCGGTACTGTTCATTTTAACGAAAAACCATATTTTTACACTAAAAAGTCAATCCTGATACTATTCACTTTACCTTTTATTTTTTCTTTATCGTTAAAACTTAAAATTTTCAAACTCTTTTTATTAGTTTTCTGTTTTTTTCCATTGGGTTTTAGCATATAGAGTTCATGTATTTCAACCCGAATATTTTGCAATCTTTTGTGCGATCACAATGGAGTGCAGGAGACTAAAAGACGAGCGTTAAAATCACAAAACCTCTCACTGCAAAAAGAAAACAAAAAGCTTCATGGTTTCTGAGTACAAACATGGATGTTAGTAACTATATTGCTCTTGGAGGTTTCTCCAACAATGCAGAAAGGTAGACTTCATCCCTTGATTTAGGGGAAATAGCCCACTTGTGTTTCTTGTATCTCAGCTGCAGAAACATGCACATGAAGTCATCCAAATCCTTTCTAACACAGAAGAACCGGTCAATCCATAACAATCCGCCAGGCCTCAGAATTCGATCCCAATCAAACAGGATAAAATCCAGCAGTTGCAGGTCAATCCAGCCGTCCAGAAATCCAGCGGTGTGAATCATGTCCATTGTGTTGTCAAAGAACGGTATTGATTCAATGTTATAAACAATGGAACCAAACCTCTCGGTGCAATCATCTCGTTGAAAGGCGCCCTGAGGTTAAGAGCAGTAGAGACTACTGTAACGTTATGTTCTCTCATCCTTGCCACGAATGTTCCTGTGCCAATGCCAAAGTCGAGACCAATCCTCATCTCCCCAGGCTTAATAGCCAGAACATCACTGATCCGAAAATCTACAGTAAGTGAGCTATTGGTAACCCATTTAAGCTTTTCCTTCTCCATTTCGAAACATCCGACACACTTGCAATAACCCCTTTTGGTGTTATTTTCCATCAAGCACTTAAAGTTCGTGCAATGATAATTGCTCCACTGCACATTTCTATCATCCGGAAGTTTCCACAGAGACTCGTTGATAGGGTAAGGCTTCTGGTAGACCATGGAGGCCCTTGTCAAGCACCGCATCCGGGGCAAAGGATCACAACCGTTAAGCATCAGCTTCTGAGCTAAGTTCCAATCATCGTTGCAATAAGACCCGATGTCATAGCTCATGTACTCTTCCAACTCTTTCTTGTTCAACACACAAGCATGTCCAATTGTATTATATATCCTCTCTGTTCCGTATATACTAATCTTCCCGGTTCTACTCTCCTTTGGGGTTATATACTTCCTTAACTCTTCAATCACAAAAGTGTTAATCAAAGGCTCCTCTTTCATCGTTGAGTTGTGAATACCTTCAGCTTTAGGTAACCGAATCAGCCTCAGAGAAATATGAGCGGTATAAAGAGGCCTGATTACTTCCTCCTCCAGATACTTCTTGTACTCAAATTTAGTAATGTTAGTTGTGTGCAAGGCCTCTTTGTCCTTCTCAATTTGCTGCACCGCTGACTCGAGCTTTTCCTGTAAGCTTTCTAGTTTATTTAGAACTTCCCCTACTCGATCAGACAAAGCTTTTATGTCAAAACCTTCGTACGCATCTTTGACGCCATTAAATTGTCGGCATATGTCTTCATTGTGAAGGAAAACGCCTGCAGAGTAGAACTTGGACAGACTGCATATGCTGAAAATTATAACAAGGCCTCCCAATAGCATCTGAAGCCAACCCATTAATTTACGCAAGCCTACATTTCGGATGACACCACCTTGCCATCCTGAATAAGGCACGAAACCTCAACTTTCCTTCTAACCAAACACTAATTCTGTACTTCCTTTTCTCGGATTTTCAACCCAGTCGAAAAAACAAATCATAGTGATTACAAAATGATCGGAAAATAAAATGTTCAGCACAAGCCACAATCGAACTTACACGTTTAAAACAACGGATCATTTTACCGAGAAAATGTATGAACTCACAACAGATATGCAATTCGTAAGATGAGCATCCAGTCTTATATAATGTAAAAACCAGAACACAGAAACTCCCAAGATTCAGAAATGTGTAAATTTCAAACAACATGAATCAAGGCCAAACATTTGCAACTTCGATTTTACATCAATTTATAACTTTCTCCCACAATACAAAAGCAAAACATATGAAATTTTCTCTGAAAATAATTTATAACAAAGGAAAAGCCAAATTTTCTCTAAAGTTTCACAGAGGAGCCAATTTCCATTAGTTCTAAACCTTCTACATTTCATTCCCAAAAACCATAACATCAAACACAAGTTAAAAGACTCGGAATTTCCTTTCATTTCCTCAGATTTTCTCAGCATCCAAACAACTTCTAACAAAGGAAAGATAGCCAAATGAAGCTGAAAACAAGTTACTCAAACCATAACTGAAATAAATAACCCAAATTTAAACAGAGCCAGAACCATGATCTCCAGGAATATGCATCAAACTGAAGCCAAAACATCAAACACAAGTTAAAAAAAAAAATTAACTTTCTTTTCCCTCAGATTTTCCCAGCATCCAAACAACATTTAACAAAAGAAACATAGCAAATGAAACTGAAAACAACCCACTTGACCATAAATTAAATAAAATTTCCAAATTTAAACTCACCCAGATGAAGAATCTCCATGATCAAACTGAAGCCAAATCAATCTTCCTGTGCATAAACTTAACATATCTTCTAAATCCAATATCTGAAAGATAAAAAAGATTGAATCTTGTAGTAATACTTCAATTTACTCCAAATAATACACTTCCCAATTGAGCATTAAGAGCTGTAAATTCGTATTTTTCAAGCTTACCCAACTCACAAAATCCACAAAATTCCCCATTATTTATTCCCTTTTTGTTATTTAATTTATTTAGCAGCATTCTTCTTACTCAACAGGCATTGAAGCACGAATCTCCAGAAGAAGAACCCTGTTAAATTCAGGCCAAAAAAATATATATATAATTAATTACTAAATCTTCTGCACACTTGTTTGTTTAATATATTAAAAAAGGAGTTGACTTTACAAATTTGGAGCTGAAAGAAGAACAGCAGTGACCAGTTGGATGGTAGCGGTGTGCCGGGTCAAACCAATTGGGGCCGGTTTAATTTCCATGGGATGGATGGAGGGCAAGAACCCTAAAATGGCGGGAGAGGAGGGAAACGTGACGTCGTTTTATCACATGCACTGCCGTTTACTTATATCGGGATGTCGTGTGACCTAACGGTAAAACGGTTGACGAAGTTACCGTGCTATGGGATGATATTTTTGGTGTCTCCTTTAATGTTATGATGATGATATTTACACACCTATTTTTACCTTCCATATACATACACTCCTCTTAATTTTTGACCGTCAAATCAAATGAATTGAAAAATATCAAATAACAAGAAGATCAAACTTATTTATGTGAGAGTTAAATTTGATCACATTTCAAGTTCTTAAAATTTTGCGACAGTTGTTAGGGAAAAGAAAGGATCCGAAGGATATCTCGACAAGCTTCTTCATGTCTTCTTTTTGGAGTGATGGAACAAGATTTATAAGGTAGGTTCTAGGTTTTACATGATTTGCATACATATGGGTTTGTAGCCAATGTTTCATATATACTCGGCACACAAACGTGTCAACTTTTCAGCATCCAAAAGTATCATGTAATTGCCAACACATCATGCACTCGATGGTAAACATTTTGCATGTTTCACTACTCAACTTTTACACTAAGCTTTAAGCATGCATCTTATCTTTTAGACACTTCCAATGATATAAAATTGTAGTGACAAGATGTCACTAGGGTTAGTTTAGGGGTGAGGGTAAGAGCAAGCTACGTTCAGAGTTTGCAACCCTGCAGCGATTCAATAAAATAATAAAATATCAATAAATTTTTGATATTTTGATATTATAAATTAAAAAAAATCACGATAAATTCAAGCTACAATGATAAAATTTGAACATAAAAAAACGATAATATCCTTTCTATCTTGCGGATATTATCAATATTTTTCTGGCATTTCTTTCACCTCTATTACTTCTGATCTTAATGTTTTTTCACTTTCGCTTGCTAAATGGGTATTTCCATAAGATGGACTTAAGGTTATTTACAATAATTATACAATGGCTAATGTTCGTATGAGAGTTGAGTATCTAGGAGGACACGAATACGTCCTCATTTACTTTTTATTTTATTTTAAAGAAAGAGTCATAATTTGAGTTTTTCAGTCAAATTAAAAAGGGATAATGATGTAATTTCTTAGTTCTCATTTACACAAGTTTGCTCGAAGATTATCTTTATTTTTTATTTTTTAAACTCAATAAATTCAAGAGATTTAAACTTAGATATTATTTTGGTCATAATTTATTTTCTTTCACTTGTTAAATGAGCACTTTTAGATTGAGTTAATGTTGTTCAACAAGTCGTTATGTTTGACGGTGTCTTTTTTCTCAACCTTATAAGAGGTCACAAGTTCAAATCTCCATTTCCCACTAATAACAAAGAAAACATATCTAATGAAATTCGAGTATTTATGAGGACACGTAAAAAATCGTAATTTCGTTTATCTTATAAGGAAAGCTTCATAATTTAAGTATTTTGGTCAAATCACGAAAGGACAACGTTGTAATTTCTCATTTATGCTAGTTTGCTCAAATCTTATCCGTTTTTACTTTTTTAGGTTAATACGACAAATATAATACTCAGATCTCCTGTTTAGCATAATGAAAATATCGACTTTAATGAACTATACAGCTATTGGCGATAACTTAAAGTTTTCACGAGATTCACACTCATATCTTTTTTTCAACCGATAATGAAAATATCGATCTTGCTGGGCCGAACAGTCATTGGCGACAACTTAAAGTGAAGTGTTTTGATTTGTCACTTGGATTTTTGGAGTCTTTATTTTTTATTTTTCATTTATTTTTCATGAAAAACTTCTTATGTGATGCATTTTCTCTTGCACTAAACTCTTTGTTGACGTCTTTCAAGAGAAAAAGAAAAAAAAAAAAACCTCTTTGTTGACACGACGAGACATACATATTCTCTCCTCCGAGCCTATAAAGCCTTCCTTCCTCTGTATGCAAACACCAAACGACACTTTGATTTTTTTGGTTCTCACTTCTCCACTCTCTCCTTCCCTTCAGAGAGCCTGTGAATTCATCTCTGCGAACCCATATGAAAGTTTATCTCTTTTGAACCAGGTACTCTCTCGCTCTCTCCTGTCTCTTTCTCTCTCTTAACTCTTAAGGCTGTGTTTGGTTTGTTCTTATTTATTTGCTCTACTTTTTTGTCGATGTGTTTGATATTATAGTAAAGTTTGGTAATAGATGTGAATCAAAGCTTAACGCGAAAACCCATTTGCGCAGGTCTTGTTTTTCACGTGGGTTCTTGACTTTCAAGCTCTTCCATGGAGGTTAGCCACTACTGAATTCTCTCTCTCTCTAAATACTCTTTTGCATACTGTTTTTAACGCTTGTGAAACAACTCTCTGCATTGTTGTTATTGTTTGCATTTTTCTGGAGTTTTATATGAGCTAAATTTTGTGGGTTAATGAGAATCCGATCAGGGTTTGGCTATGAAAGTTTGGTTTGAATGCTATTTGCTTTGGCTGTAAATTTGTAATATTTTGGTTGTAATTTACATAAGCTTCTGCGTTTTTGTCTCAGAGAGGGCTGTACACGTTTGATTTTCGCTATTTGTTTGGCTTTTGTTTTCGTGACACTGTGTTGTATCGATTGTTTCAACATGCTTGATAGCATTTTTTGTTGTGTCTTTTATCGATATAGATCTAGGTTGGTTATCTGAATTTGGTTTGGTGATCTTGAAATTATCTGCTTTTATGTGTTTTCTTCTTCATTCAGGGGTCATTTTCTCTTTGTAGATATCTTTATCTGGGTTTCATTTTTCATTAGCATCTGCATCCCCGAGTTTATAATTAATAAACCGTGTTGGCTTGAGGAGTGATGATGATAGTGACAAATAAAACCCAATGCAGTATGCTGAAGGTTTCGTGGTGAATGTTTAATGCCTTTTTCCAATCCTAAGTGTTTATTGTTATGTTTCTATAAACTTTGGCAGATGGAATCAGATCAGCCAGATGATGTTGGTAATTGCATCGAAGAGAAATCTGTTCAGCATTTACTTGATCCAGGTAGTCCTGATATAAGCAATATGTTCGGAGAGCAGCAAGTGGCTCCCCGAGTTGGTGATGCATACCAAGTGGAAATCCCTTCCCTGACTATGGACGCTGAGCAGTATAAGCTTTTGACTAATCCTGCTCATTCAAAAGTTGTTGATGGTTCCCATTACTTTCTAGTTGGTTTGCCCGTACCAATTGTATATTCTGACGAAGTGAATAACATTGAAGATCGCAGGCTGGAATCTCCAATTAACCCTGATAATGTGGTTAATGGAAAGAGTTCTAAGGAAGCTAGAAAGAGAAAGAAGGATCCTACTAGACTGAGGAAGAAAAGTTCAAAACTCAAAGTTGCAGCCTTGTTATTTGGGTTGGACAAGGTAGAAGAATCAAAAGCAGAAAATATTGAGCCGCCGGTGGTGGAAGAGAATGCAAATCAGTCGCTGAGAAGCAAGTGCTGTTATCCAGTTCCCGGTTCATCAAGAAGCACTTGGAGTGATGCTGAAGTGGATAGCTTTCTTCTGGGTTTATACATTTTCGGGAAGAGCTTTTACCAGGTGAAGAGATTCATGGAGAACAAAGCCATGGGAGAAATACTGTCATTTTATTATGGGAAGTTTTATAGGTCTGATGCACACCGCAGATGGTCAGAGTGCCGGAAAAGTAGAAGAAAGAAATGTATACTTGGGGAGAAAATTTTCACAGGGTGGAGGCAACGGGAGCTGTTATCTCGTATAATTCCTCATGTCTCAGAAGAATCTCAAAAATGTTTATCAGAGGTACTTCATAATTCACTATTTAAGTTTATATGTGAGATATTTTTTTGCCCTGGAACATAATTTAATAGGATCAATATTTGTAATAGTGTACATACTTGTTGTATCTCACTGAAATTATACCATCATTTATTTTTTTGTCTTGCAATGAAGTCGAAAAGGAAACCTTGTTATTATGCTGTAGATTCCAGAAAAGTATATTTTGTTTGACAGTGCACTTAATGCATGTTGATACCATTTTGTACTCCCATGGCTTCACCGCTCCAGTCTCTCTTCTTTCTTATTGTTCATTCACTTTTTCTTGCTCTTTAAAAGGTGATAGGAGAGTTGTTATATAGCAACAGAATTGAGAGTTTAACGTACGTATTGCTGAATTTTATTCATGGAAGTTTGTTTTCCTCAGTTCAATAGTTCTCTATTAACAATGACAATTAATAAAAATGTTGACTTTCTGTTGTTACAAGTCAGATGCATAATATTTCATGGTTTGGAATAGATTGATTCTTGTATAACATATTCTTAGCTCAGATTCAGAAATAGATTACAAACGCTCCTATGAATGTTGTTGTAGCTTGAATATTCTTTATCTATCTGAGAGGTAAATGTTATGATTCTCACTCCTTGTTTCTCTTGTGATCTGTTATTAGCAGGGTTACAAATTATTTGCAGAGGGGACAACGTCTCTAGAAGAATATGTATCCTTCTTAAAGTCCATTGTTGGCATTCGTGTCCTTGTGGTAGCTATAGGAATTGGGAAAGGGAAAGAAGATCTCACAGGCTTTGCCCTGGAAGCTGGAAAGAACAATCAGGAGCTTCCAGCTTGTCCAAAATTACCAGCTTGCAAAGCATTTAGTTCTCTTACATTCAGTGAAATAATTAAATATTTGACCGGAGGAGTTCGGTTGAGCAAAGGGCGATCTAACGATATCTTTTGGGAGGCTGTTTGGCCGCGTTTGCTAGCAAATGGATGGCATTCTGAGCAACCTACATATTCTTTGGTTTTTCTTATGCCTGGCATAAAGAAGTTCAAAAGAAGAAAATTGACAAGGGGAGATCAGTATTTTGATTCTGTTAGCGATGTTCTGAACAAAGTGGCATCTGAACCAGAACTTATTCAACTTCAAGGTGAAGAAGAACTTGTTCCAGAGGCGACATCAGACCAGGATGATCTATCTAATCATCAACGCCATTGCTACCTCAAACCAAGGGTCGTTACTAGCAAACCAAACCGCATGCAGTTCACTGTTGTTGATACCAGTTTGGTCCATGGAGCAAAATCACGTGGCATAGTGGAACTGAAATACTCACCAGTTGAACTCCAAAGTAATTCAGAACAAACCAATTGTTCAAGAGAAAATGAAGGGGACTCTTGTGAGAATAAATTAAATGGACATGAAAGTGATACTGCTGAAATGCAATTGAACAGTAAAACCAATATGGCCAAGCACCTGAAGCGTAAGAGGTTCACAATTGTCGATACCAGTCTAGTTCATAGAGGAAAATCATCAACAGTTACAGAACTGAGATGCTCGCCAACTGTGTTTGAAAGTGTTTCTAAGTCAACTGGTCTTTTACAGGAAACTGAAGAAAATTCGTCTGCGGATTTACTGGCCAAGCATAAGCCTGATGCTGCTGATATTTCATTGGATGGTGAAGTGAATAATTTCAGCGACAACTGCCATAGGGATATATCTGATATTGGTGGTACAAACCAAATGGAAGACAAAAATAGCTCAGATTCTACAGAAAAAATAGAAGGCCACCCGAATAAAAAAAAGGGGATGTCTGATGACAAGAAGCCGAAGAGGACTACATTACTTAAGTTTAGTCGGAAACAGAAATATAGACATTCAAATTCTGTAGGTTCTCTCCCCAAACGCCGAAGATTAGCTGCTTGTGCTAAGGCAGAAACAGGTTGCCTCGTCAACAGTAGCTCTCAAGGTTTGCAGTCAGAACAAGTGGGATCCCATGGCCCATTGAATTCTCTAGATGCAGGCGAGCTTGTTGTTTCTCTAGCGGGTCCTCTTGAAAGGGAGCCATCAATTGCTTCTCTTGCTGAAGGTAGTCCAGTAAGGGAGAGTAGTTCTGAAACTCATGGTGGGAATTGTTCAGGTGAGCGCATGTCGCATGAGAAGAATGAGAATCATCAAGACCAGGAATCATCCATCCTAAACCTACATCAGGATTTGATGGACAGTAGAAACAGTGAAAACATTGTTGTGTTCAACTTGGAAACAAATGTAGACAGTCTGTGCCTCTCATCAACTGAAGCACATGTTGTAGACACTTTGAGTACCTCTAACATGATCTCTAGGAGGCAAAGCACAAGAAACCGACCGCTAACAGCTAGAGCATTGGAAGCTCTTGCAGACGGGTTATTAGGAATTAAAAAGAGAAAAAACCACTCAGAAGATGTCCCTGGGGAAAATCAAGTATCAAGACCCTCCCGCAAGGCCCGGAAGAGAGTCAGGGTAACTTCAAGTCATGCTGATACTGTTAGTGGAATTGTGGCTTCAGAAGAAAATGAGGTGAACGAAGGTTTGAATGTTAGCAAAGATACGGATAGCAAACCTCTTGATCAAACTGGAGAAAAGTGGCCAACTAGCCACTAGGTGTGTTTGAAGACTTGTGTCATCTTGAAGTTGTGATTTTCAGAAGAATTAACCCTGGTAAGGTACTAATCTATCTTTTGATTTGTAAAGTGGTTTCAAAACTGCACAAAGTAGTAACTGTCAAATCTTCCAGATGGACAAGAATATTGTCAAATATTTTCGAAAATTCAATGATAGGAGATTAAACTAGGCAAATTTGACAGCACTTTTGATAGCTATTCATGGTTTTTGGGGTAAATAGGAAATTTCTCGTCTGAGCTATGGATGACTGTTTCAAGGGGTCACTTGCTGTTCAAGTTTCTTCCAAAACTGTTTAGTTAGTGGGTTTGCAAAGATAATATAGTCTGACATGATGAACAGAACTTTAATTTCTGGTAATCTCTTATGAACTCATCATCGTTGTAAGTTAAACATGTATTCGGAAAAAGATCCGGGGCTGGTTTTGATGACCTTTTTGTTGGCACTTTTTCTATTTCAGCAGGGTTTTAAGGTTTGGTGGGTGCTTTTTTTTGTTGATAGAAAGTTAGTTCTATATCCTATATAGAACATCTCATAATCTCACTGTTATTTTGTGCCCTATAATTTGGTTTCTATTCCCTAGTCCTTTGGCTGTCCTGTTATATCATAGTTCTTGCCCAGCACACCTGATTCCACACATGAGAAATGCTAAGGTCAATCGCCCAGACACAAGACGGTTGCTTCAGCCGTTAATGTGTCATTGGCCCCAACATACATATCAAATGGAAGTAGGGTTTTGCATTTGCTTTCAAAACCTTGATGTTTTAACTCATTTGGTTAGTCTTTGGGCCTTAAATGTTTAGGGCTTGAAATAGGCTTAGGTCTGTTGGGTCTTGTATGTTAGGGCTTCAAGCCTTCAAATATTAGATAGGCTTCCAAACATGGGCCTGCTTAGATTGAAATGCCTTATTAGTTGACCCATTTGACCATTGCTATAATTTCGTTGACTATCGTGATTACCCTTTGCTTTAAAAAAAATAATACCAATATTAAGGGGAGGCAGAAGAGTGCGAACAATTATATTGGGATGGGGTTTTAAACTTAGAACATATACGTAGAAACACAAAACCCTATCTAAATCTAACAAGATATTGGACCACATATTTTTTGTGTAAACACAGTTTTGTCATGTTAATCAGCAAAATTTATAATTTTTCCTACTCATAACAAAGAACAAAAAAATATATATTTGGCTCCTCCATACATGGGTATAGTTACATAATACATTAGCTAAAGTGAATATGCTCCTCTTATGCAGTGACGGATCTAGAATTCGAACCTTCGGGAGTCCTAATGTTAAAATACAAGTTTTTTAGATAGAAGCGTGCAAAACAAATTCAATTTATTCACTGAGTCATTTCGTCGAATACTTTGGCAAGCTTATTGTCATCAGCCAAATCATGTTGCACACATGTCAACAAATATCGACATATGCCAAATCAATGTGATGAGTGATATCGATAGAATTTGTTGAGTGTTTTAGATGCAACCTGTCGAGATATGCCTAGCAGATATTATATCAAACACTTGATAGGCACAAAAGGGATCGGTACCAAACATTCGAAGAGTCATCGGAAGACCTTCACTTGGTCCCAATGTACATTCGCCACTGCTCGTATGTATTTGATCGAGTTCGAAGCTCTCTTCTCACAATTTAGATTAGTTTAAAGTAGAATATCACTAGTAAAAAAAAAATGGTTCGTACCCAATTCCAATTTGCAGATTGGTTTCTTTAGACTATCTCCAATTCATGGGATAAAACTTAAAATATAAACTTTAAAACTCCGCTCCACCAAACCATCTCCAACCATTAGGCTAAAATAAGTCTTGGACAAAAAGTATATTTTTGGGCTAGATTTTGTGGCTTGAATTATTCTGGACCCACCAAACTGTCATATTTCAAGCATTTTTTTGTTTTTTACATGTAATCCAACCGTTGTGATAAAATGAGATCAAATCTAATGGTAAGAAAAGAAAGATTTGACGACCCAAAATTAAATTAAACGTCTAAAATAATTTAAAGAATTTATTTAAGTCAAATTTCACATAAAACTTTATAAATACCTATGTATTTGTATGATTTTTAATTATTTATTGGAATTTAAATATTTTTAAGTTAAAATGTTCATGAAAATAAATTAGAATAATCTACATAAATTTTATTTTCAAAAAGTTATAAAAAAAAAAGAGACTAAAATCATATTTTAATACTCTCGGGCTAAAATTTAAGCCATAAACATTGGATGAAAAAAATAGTTTTAGTTGAATATCAGAGTGCGCGACAATAAAAATTACAAAATAATAAGAATTTTATTAAACAAACAAGAATGCCAAAACGGCTACAAAACTCCAAGAGCTACATTGTGAGTAACTTGCTTCTCAAACTAAATTACAAGCAGTATTAATAGAGTACTAAACCTAAGAAACCCTAACTCGGATGGGCTATGCCCAATTCCTAAACTAACAAGCAAAACCCAAATACTAAAATAAACATAAATACTAATATTTTCCAACACCCTCGTCAAACTCATGGATGTACACAACATGAGTTTGCCAACAAATGATGTGGATGCAAGCTCTGTTATGCTAACTTCTTATGCCAATTTCAATACGAAATTCCATCGGTGTAAGTGCAAGATTTCCATGTTAGTGCTAATGCCAGTGCAAGACAAATACCAATGCTAGTGCAAACTTTCCCGGTGCCAATCGCGAACTTCCGAATAAACCAACAAAAAATCCAGTTTACCGTGTACACAACGTCACTCGAGTGGTCACCAGTTCAAACACTTGGGTGATTGCCGCAAGAACAATCTTCCCAATACAAGCCAAACAACCACCTTCTCAAGTCACCCATGTTGCCCTTAAAAACAACCAAACCACCAATATTTCTTTCATGCCCGTGTGGGCCTCTAAAAAACAAACCACTATTTCTTCTTTTTTGTTTTTTCTCTCCTCTTTTCTTTTCCTTTTTTTTCTTCTTCTGTGCTAGCAATTGCAGAACTCCAGTGAACAAGTGCAGAACTTAAAAAACCCGCTGGTGTGAGATTTCTAGGGATGCAAGTCAGATGCTAGAGTATAGGACAAGAACAAACGATGAACAATGACAACCCCTTTTTTTCAGACTACCACGACTGTCAATACCAGATATCCAAAGACAAAAAAACAAACATAAACAGAGTGACCAAGAAGAAGCAAGGGCACAAATCGAAGTGGAAACCCGTTTTGATACCAAGTTGAATATCAGAGTGCGCGATAATAAAAATTACAAAATAATAAGAAGTTTATTAAACAAACAAGAATGCTGAAAGGGCTACAAAACCCCAAGAGCTACCTTATGAGTAACTTGTTTTTCAAACTAAATTACAAACAATATTTATAGAGAACTAAACCTAAGAAATTCTAACTCTGATGAGCTAGGCCCAATTCCTAAATTAACAAGCAAAACTCAAATACTAAAATAAATATAAATACTAATATTTTCCAACAGTTTCTGGGTTATGACTTAAACTTTTTTAACTTAAATTTTCAGGGCTGGAGATGGTCTTAAAATGTTGAGTTGGGCCTATATGCCCTATTGCCTAGGAACTTTCCTGTAATCATGTTACATGTTTTTCTTCTTTTCATCAAAAAGTCGGGTTTTGAAAAGAAAAAATGATGCATCTTTCATCTTTGGCCACACCTTTTGGCGCTAATGGGACGTCTTTGGCGCCAATAATTAAGAAAATATAATCAACTTAATTCACAAATAAAGAATTAGTAAAATCAAAATCAATCACGATCAATAATTTTGATTCAAAATTTTCCTAGACGTCAAAAATTAAAAAAAGCGTGACGTTCTCTCTAACTGAGAACAAAATGTCAACATTTTGCCAAAAATTCAAGGACGAGAGCAGGGAAAAGGAGAGAATGACTCAGATCGAGTCGATCGACGATGCTCGTAAGTAACTTCGGTACTTCGGGCCCATGCATGTAACTTCCTAGTTTAAAATACTAATATATTTGTTGTCAATTTTAGCATGTTCTTGAGATATTTAGCTTGCAAGATATTCTTTCCAAGTTTTCACATCACTATCCATCTAATAGACTTGTGTCTTGTTTCTTATATATCCTAGCTAATTGTCTACCATCAAGAAATTTTTCCTTCTTGTTTATTAATTCAACCATTTTCGTTTATGAAATTTGAACTAAGAATTTCATTTAGAAAAGTAGATACAAAATGCCGTAAGACTAAATGATCATTGTAAATGTCATAGGGCAAAGCAGTCTCTTGTTCTATGGTTCTACCTACCATTGTAGATGAAGGAGTGAGATCCATTATGGTTCTTTGTGTCCAGAGCCCACGAATTCAAGCCATTCAATTTTAATTGTACAACCCCTATTAATCCATCTCACTGGCCAATATCACAAAATCTAAAAACTTAAACAGCTTAAATCACTTTCTTCTCTCTTGAACAGTGGGAATGTATCAATCCACGTACTTCAAACATAAAGATTCGGAGTGGATCTTATTCCATAGATGAAAACCTTTTGGCCCTTTTATTCATGATTTGATGATTTGATGACACCCCACTTTCTAATTCATCCCGTAATGAGACAACAAAATCTAGGGTTCTGTTTTGAAAGTAGATTTCCAACTATTACCCCGATCCCAATAACAAAAAAAGACAGAAAGTGAATATTAATTTTTTTTTTCGCTTTTGGAAGGGCTACCAAGACCTTATATGGATTTTCAATGGCCAATTTATTTGAAAATATATAGACTATTAAAAGTTTGTTTGAAAATGTTTTTAAAAGAAAATGGATCATTTTCAGATCTCTTTCTCTTAATCTACCAAATCATAGAATCTGTATCGTTGAAATTTGATCTAACGACTGAAGTTATTATAATTTTTAAAGTGAGCCCTTATTTGTACCCGTTGGATCAATTTTTAACGGCATAGATTCCTTGATGTGGTGGATTAGGAGGAAGGGATCCGGAGGATCCCTTTCCCTTTTAAAATGAAGAAAACGTTTATAGTGAAATATATTTTGGTTTCTAAAAACATTTATTAGTGACATTGATTTTGGGTTTCAAAAGCACTTTAAGTATTTTTTGAAAGAATTATCAGATATGTGCTTCTTATACGAACTAGTTAAAGTGTTTTGTTTTTCAGGATTACTTGGGTTTTACTAAGGATTAATTTCAAAAATATTTTCACCAAAAGCATTGTCAGTCATTTTAAAAGCACTTTTAAACGAGTTCCAAAATATTTAAAAGAGAAATAAGTTTCACACAGTTTTTTTACGCATACTTTTATATATTTTGGCTTTGGATAGGCAAAAGGGAGTCAAGCGACAGGAACAAACACATCATTTCTCTGTAAAATGGCGAACGTGCATGGGTTAATGTCAACTTAAAAACAGTTCCTAATCTTCGAGTTATGCTACCTAGTAGATAGCAAAATCCCTTACTTGCTAAATTAGAAGTTGCTATTTAAGAACAAGATATTTTTA